CTCCACAGCAAAAAGGGATTGCTGAGCGCCGCATTGGCATGGTCATGGACGTCGCCCGTACGTCCATGATGCATGCGGCTGCCCCCCATTTTCTTTGGCCGTTTGCAGTTCGGTACGCGGTGCATCAGATCAACCTTCACCCCAGGGTCTCCATGCCGGAGACCTCCCCAGCTTTGCTGTGGACGGGGAAGGTTGGCGATGCGTCTGCGTTCCGTGTCTGGGGATCTCGGGCGTTTGTCCGCGACTTGTCTGCGGACAAGCTGTCCCCTCGTGTTGCTCCTTGCGTCTTCCTTGGCTTCCCCCCTGACGCGCCAGGGTGGCAGTTCTACCACCCCACCTCTCGCCGTGTTCTGTCCTCCCAGGACGTCACGTTTGACGAGTCGGACCCCTACTACCGCCAATTCCCATACCGCACTCCGTCCCTCCCCCCGCCACCGCTCTTCCTTGTGCCAGGTCCCCCCCCAGTAGACCCCCTCCCCCCTCAGGGTCCTGCCCCTTCAGGTGTGTCCCAGGTAGACGCAGACGAGCCTGTCGAGGTTACTGGTGACTCTGGTGCTGCTGAGGGTGCTGAGCCTGGGGGTGCTGACTCTGGGGGTGCTGAGCGTGTGGGTGCTACGCCAGGGGGTGCTGAGCCTGAGGGTGCTACTACTGGGGGTGCTGAGCCTGGGGGTGCTGAACCTGGGGGTGCTACCACTGAGGGTGCTGAGCCTGGGGGTGCTGAGCCTGGGGGTGCTACGCCTGGGGGTGTTGAGCCTGGGGGTGCTCCGCCTGGAGGTGATGAGCCTGGGGGTGCAGAGCCTGAGGGAGCTGGGCCTGCTCGTGTGGCGTCTGGCGGTGCTGGGCCTGGAGGTTCTCCGGGTGCTTCGTCTCGGCGGGAGCCACTCTCTCCACAGGAGCTGCGTGAGTGGTTTGCCCGGCGCTGGAGGCGTGCTGCTGGAGCTGGAGGTTCTTCGGCTGCTGAGGGTGCTGGTGCCGCGGGTCCTGGAGGTGCTCGTACTGGGAGTACTGGAGCTGCTGGGCCTGCGGGTACGACTGGAGCTGGAGCTGCTGAGGGTGTTGGCGCTGAGGCTACTGCTGTCGGTCCTGGAGGAGGTCCTGAAGGGGGTGCTACTGGTGCTGCTGGGGGTACTGGAGCTGGAGGTGCTACTGGCGCTGGTGCTGCCGCTGGGGGTACTGGTGCTGTCCCTGCTGTGTCTAGAGTAGCCGCGCGGCCTCGGCCGTACTTCGTTCCGCTCCTTCAGCAAGTTCTTGGTCTCCTGCCTTCTACTGGTCCTCCTCCTCCCTTAGAGTGTCCACAGCCTGTCCCGTCACAGTTACAGTTACAGCCGGCCTTCCCACTGCCTGCTCCTTCTCCCTACACTAGTCCTACTGGAGGTCTTGCCGAGCGTCGTGAGCCTGCGTCTCGCCCTGCGTCGCCTGTTCGTGCTGCTCGCGCTAGTGGTTGTGGTTCGCGTCAGCGTCCTCCTACTATCCCTGGCACGCACCGGATGTCTCTACGTCCGTCCACTGCTCCTCTGCGTGCCCCTTTGCCTTCTCCTCCTGAGTCCTCGCTTCCTGCTCTTGCCGACCCGGAGTCGGACTATCTTCGTGCTGCCAGTCCTACAGTCACGCGTCTCCTTGGTACTTTTGTCACTAACCCTTCCTTTGAGTCCACTGTTGCGTCTGCCCTAGTTGCTGAGCTCATCAACTTCGCTGCTCGCTGTCGTCTGGACTACGCTGCTAGTCTTGTCACTGCGTCTGAGACTGTCTGTCCTCCGTCCGTCGGGGGTGAGTGTGCCCTTGGCACGGACGTCCTTGAGGACAGGCAGGAGGAGTTCCAGTGTTTGGCTGCTGCTTCACCTCATCTCGTGTCCGTACTGCTTACCCTTGAGGGAGACCCGTATGCACTTGACATCCCGACTCCGCGCTCTTACGCGGAGGCGATAGAGGGTCCCTACTCCTCTCAGTGGCAGGCAACTATGGACACAGAGATGGCTTCCTGGAAGTCCACAGGCACCTATGTTGACCAGGTTCCCCCGCCTGGGGCGAACATCGTTAGTGGCATGTGGATTTTCAGGGTGAAGCGGCCGCCGGGTTCTCCGCCTGTCTTCAAGGCGCGTTACGTGGCTCGTGGCTTCAGTCAGCGGCAGGGAGTTGACTACTTTCAGACCTTCTCTCCCACCCCGAAGATGACCACTCTTCGGGTACTGCTGCACATAGCTGCTCTCCGCGACTACGAGCTGCACTCTCTTGACTTCAGCACTGTTTTCTTGCAGGGCAGCGTGCACGAGGAGATCTGGCTGCGTCGCCCACCTGGCTTCAGTGGGTCTTTTCCTCTTGGCACCTAGTGGAGCCTCCGGCGGCCAGTCTACGGTCTCCGCCAGGAACCGCGTGAGTGGCACGACACACTGAGGACTACACTTGCGGCTCTTGGGTTTGCTCCCTCTACTGCCGACCCGTCGCTGTTTCTGCGCACTGACACTTCTTTGCCGCCGTTCTACATCCTCGTGTACGTCGACGACTTGGTCTTTGCCACAACTGACACTGCTGGACTCGCCCACACGAAGTCCGAGCTGCAGAAGAGACACACGTGCACAGACCTGGGTGAACTGCACAGCTACCTTGGCTTGCAGATCACCCGGGACAGAGGACGCCGCACCATTACCCTGACTCAGTCACACATGGTGCAGCAGGTCCTTCAACGCTTCGGCTTCACGTACTCCTCGCCTCAGGCCCCTCCTCTGCCTACTCGCCACTCGCTCTCAACTCTGCTTTTGGATGAGTCCATAGAGTTGAGTGGCTCGTACCCAAAGCTTGTTGGCTGCCTCATGTACCTGATGACCTACACACGACCTGACCTTGCATACCCTCTTAGCATTCTCGCACGCTATGTTGCTCCTGGGAGACACAGACCGGAGCACATGGCTGCAGCGAAGAGGGTGTTGCGCTACCTGTGCCGTACGTCGGGCATGTGGCTTGTGCTTGGAGGGCGGAGTCCAGTGGTCCTCACTGGGCACGCAGACGCTTCTTGGGCTGATGACCAGGCTACGCAGCGGTCGTCACAGGGTTACACCTTCAGCCTTGGTTCCGGCTCCGTCTTGTGGCGGGCTACCCGCTCGTCTTCTGTTCTCGGCTCCAGTTGTGAGGCTGACATCTACGCCGGGGCCATGGCTGCAAAGGAGCTTCGCTGGCTCACCTACCTGCTGACTGACCTCGGAGAGCCGCCTCGTTCTCCTCCAGTGCTATACGTAGACAACAAGGCCATGTTGGCCTTGTGTCGAGAGCAGAGACTGGAGCACAGAACGAAGCACATTGCTCTCCGCTACTTCCTTGCTCGTGAGCTACAGCAGCGTGGTCAGCTGCGCCTTGCTTACGTGGCCTCTGTGGCCAACACTGCTGATATCTTCACCAAGGCACTTGCGCCTTGTGATCATCAGCGCTTCTGTACTCAGCTGGGTCTTGTGCCTACCTTGCCTCACTTGCTCACCCCTTGACCTTGTTTGTACTATTGCATATATACATACACCTGCTCTTGCTTGTCTAGCCTTATATATATATGTAATCCTGCATGTGAACTGGCCTTGTGGCCTTGAACTTGTGCTCGGAATGTGTGGTGACTTTGTGATCCACCCTGAGCTTGCTTTGCTTTGCTTGACTGGTCTTGTGACCCCTTGTTCTCCCCCACTTTGCCTATGGGGGTGTGTCAGATTTATATGACATAGCTACTGTAGGCTATAGTGGGGTAGCACATATGGGGTACAGCTTTGTAGGGTTTGTACTTGTACCCAACTTTCCGTTAGTCATTCTCATTCCTCGTTTCTTCTCATGCCACTTCGAACTGGATTTGATAGAGTGAACCTCTTTTTTAGAGTTAGCAGATTGTATTGTTTCATGTGCTAGTTGATTATTCAAAGACTTTGCTATTGACTTCCCCCCCATGCTAGGCAGGGGATGCGGTAGCCTTGTTTTTGGGTCGTTAACTATCACGCATTTGTATGATATACTGGTGTGGTGCATTTCAGCATATCATATGCATACAAATGCATTTTCATGCGTGTATCGTTATTAGGTATGCACCTATATATCATGCCTCATCATTTCATTCATTTAAGCATGTGTGGCGTGTAATTTATTATTAGTACTCATAACATTTATTACATGCAATTATCACTATATCAAACAGTAAAAGATATAATACAAACAGTATAGCATTTATGCACAAAACTACTACAAAAACTGCTACCAACATTCAAAACACTTCAACATGCACAATGGGAAGAGTGATAATGTAGATTACAACTTTTTTTTCATGTTTTTTTTTTACCTTGAAAAAAAATGTCAAAATCGATCGTAAAGGGTTGCTTCGCAACCCAAAAGAGGGGCAGAGAAAGCACTATGGAGGGGGGCCGGCCAGCCTGGCGTAGTTTTCGCCAGCTTGGGACGCGCAGTTTCCGCAGATGCTTCTGCTTTCCTCTCGACGTTCAGAGTTTTCGCTCGAAGCTACCTAAGGAATTTGTTTTTGTAGTCTCCTTTCTACTCGTTTTTGTTGTTTATGTGTCGACGAGCAACCCCGAATTCGAACACATCCTTTCGTTTCTTCACAAACTGCTGCTCCACATGAAAGATAAGCTTGTTCCTGGCTTATCTTACATTTCCAGGAACAATGGTTCGTCGCAGTTTGTTCTGCCCGCGGTGCCGCCGCCGTAGGCGCGACACGCTGAGTCATCACCTGCATCCACGCTGGCGAGCCGCCATCAGATGAAACCTGTAATTCGGACCTTGTACTTGCCTGGCTGGAATACTGTACACGAGACCATGTGCTTCTTGAATGTCGTGCGCGCGTATTCGTACATAATCAGAAACATTTACGAGGGGAGGTCATTACTCCAACAATCCTGGTGAAATTGAGTCTCCCCGCCATCTCTCATTCGTCATTTGCCTTCCTTTCCGCCAACAGCGCATCATATCGGTACTATTCGTCGCGAAGCTTTGTTTCTTGACGCGACTCGGCAAGCTGAAACATGGCGCCGTGGGTTGCGCTCGCGCTCGTGGGGCTCCTGCTGGGAGCCACTAATCTCCGAGCGGCTCGCGGAGAGTCGTTTAACTACGATCTCTCGGGCACGGACTGGCCGGTATGTGTTACGCTGCGCTTCTCAATGTCATCGAATCACTCTCTGCTTTATGTATTGTCTTTCTTTATACGTTGTTTTTTTCAAAAGAAAACAGCATTTTTTTAAATGTCACGCTTTCACACCGAACCCGAAGGCTCTGCCGCCTGTCTGGCTCAACATAGTCTCGTTGTCACATCGTTGCATCGGCATAGTCACAATGTCACAATGTTGTGTCAACATAGTAACATCCGACAGTGCATGCTCTTCCACATAGTGATGCTTTTTCTTGAACCTGCCCCCTCATACAGTCACATTCCTCCTCCTGCCTGCCGTCGTCCGTGCAGGGTCTGTGCCAGACGGGCAAGAAGCAGAGCCCCATCAATATAGTCACATCCGCAGTGAAGCGCGCCGATGGTCCCTCGCTGCTGAGCCGCGAGATCACCGTCACCAACGAGGAGCACGCCGCTGGTAATACGATTTGCTGTGTGTACGCCTGTACGCGTTATAAGTAAGCCAGGGGCTACCACTGAGCCGCTGCTTAAAGTGAAGCACCCGTTGAACCGCGAGATCACCGTCACCAACGAGGAGCACTCTGCTGGCAGGACAGCCAGCTGCCTGTACGCGTTATAAGCCGTATGCCACTGTTGAGTTTCGGATTTTCCCTCCTATGAGGCTGCCTGCCAGAGGCAACTGACGAGTCTGAAAAGACGGGTGTGAAAAGACGAGCGTGTGAAAAGACGAGCGTGTGAAACGTCTCCTATCGGCTTCAAGTGAAGCACTGACAAGAGACACACGCCTCTGTGGCAAGAAACTGGCCGCCTCGTCCCGAATCGATTCCCTTTCTATCTCCCAAAGGGTTCGAGAAGTCTATTGCGTCGACTCAAAGCCGTGACCAAGGGTGTCCAAGGAAGGAACATCCTCCTCTTGCATTCTTGCCTGACGGTACGTGATCCCCCTTTTTCTCGTTGACTTCCCTCCTGTACCATCGCAAACCCTGCCTCACCCCTCTTTGCGAGGCAGAGTCAGCCAGCACCACCACTGTCTCTTCTGCCTCATCCCCTGCTCCCCCTCGTTTCTCATACCCACCTGTATCGCCACAGACCGGCAAGCCCCACTACCTCCCCCTCCCCTCCACCTCTCTCAGGCTCTTTTCTCTTTCCCCCCCCCCCCCCCCCCCCCCCCCCGCCCACCCACCCTCCGCCTCGTCCGGGTCTCATCTCCAGCGGTATCGCCACAGGCGGGCAAGCGGTACTTCTTGACTCTCCCCTCGGGGCTGCACAAGCTTGACCACTCCGACCTGCAGGTGCCGTGACGTGACGTGTGCTGCTGCTGCTGCTGCTGCTGCTGCTGCTGCTGCTGCCGCCGGGTACCTCTTCTCATGAGTTGGTCGTCTGATGGGTGCTTCCTGTGATGCTCCTGTGATGCTCCTGTGATGCTCCTGTGATGCTCCTGTGATGGTTCGAGGCACTATGTGCTCTCGCAGGTGCATGCTGTTGCACGCCGGGCCGTCCGTCCCGCTGCCATGTAGTCGCTTGGCCAGCCAATGCCCTCCGCCCCTCCTCATTCGCCCGTGTGCGCAGGTGCCCAGCATCCACCTGGTGGACGGCGTGCAGGCGCCCATGGAGGCCAAGTGGACGCATGGGAGGGACTGCAGTCACTGCTGTGCTGCACCCAGTAACCAGCCAGCAGTTCCCTTGCCGTCTCTCCCCCTCACACACGCAGGTGCCCAGCATCCACCTGGTGGACGGCGTGCAGGCGCCCATGGAGGCCAAGTTCGCGTATGTGTGTGGCCAACACCACTCTCCCTACCCCTCCGCTTCTTGCTCATATACCACCCTGGTGAAACTTGTTTTCGCAGGTGCCCAGCATCCACCTGGTGAACGGCGTGCAGGCGCCCATGGAGGCCAAGTTCGCGTATGTGTGTGGCCAACACCACTCTCCCTACCCCTCCGCTTCTTGCTCATATACCACCCTGGTGAAACTTGTTTTCGCAGGTGCCCAGCATCCACCTGGTGAACGGCGTGCAGGCGCCCATGGAGGCCAAGTTCGCGTATGTGAATGTGGCCAACACCACTCGCAAGTCCGTGTTCACTGTCTTCCTCAAGCTGCATCCCAAAGACAAGGACAACGCGTGGCTCGACCTGTAAGCACATGCAGTGTGAGGTGAGCGCACATGTGCGCATATAAGCTTGTGAAAGGCCGTCGTCACCGCCCTCTCAAGCTGCACCTGCGCGACAAGGACAAGGCACGGCTCAACCTGTGATAAACCCCACTGTGCTGCGCCCATGGTGGCTCATTGAGCTGTCTCAAAAGGAGGTGACTTTTGAGTCACACTCAAAAGTCGACTCAAAAGTTCCCTAGGTGACTTATTGCGCGGGCTCAAAAGTCCCCTAGGTGATTTATTGCGCTGGCGCAAAAGTTCCCTAGGTGATTTATTGCGCTGGCGCAAAAGTTCCCTAGGTGACTTATTGCGCTGGCTCAGAAGTCCCCTCGTTACACTGCCAGCCACACGGATGCCCACAGACCCCGCTGCCTCTGCCTTCACCTGCTTCCCTGATTCCCCCTTCCTCCCTGCCCGCCTTCCCCTCTCTCTCCCTCTCCCCTTCCCCCCAGCTGGTTGAATTACATCCCAGCAGCGGTGAACGGAACGGCCAAGCTAGCGGCAAAGACCAACTTCCTGGAGCTTCTTCCTCCCCTTACTCTCTATTCCTTCACCCCCTCCTGCTATCCAGCTGGCTGAACGACATCCCAGCAGCAGTGAACGGAACGGCCAAGATAGCGGCAAAGACCAACTTCCTGGAGCTGCTGTCGTTTGATTCGGCCTTCTGGTACTACGAGGGCTCCCAGGTGCACCCGCCCTGCACCGAGACGGTTGACTGGTTCGTCTCCATGCGCCCCAAGCTCGTCTCCACCCGCCAGGTGCGTGGCTGTTAGTTAGCGCCTCAACGGTCATCTCTCTGCCTGTTGTTGTTCCCTAAGCGCCGCCTTGAAGGTGCACGGTGCACCCGCCCTGCACTGAGACGGTCGATTGGTTCATCTCCATGTTTGTGTCCTCTCGCCAGGTGCGTGCTGCACGCTGCTGGGTGCTGGGTGCTGCGTGCTGGGTGCTGCGAGCTGGGTGCTGGGTGCTGGGTGCTGCGTGCTGGGTTCTGTGTGCTGCGTGCTGGGTGCTGTGTGCTGCGTGCTGGGTTCTGTGTGCTGCGTGCTGGGTGCTGTGTGCTGTGTGCTGTGTGCTGCGTGCTGCGTGCTGGGTGCTGTGTGCTGGGTGCTGCGTGCTGGGTGCTGCGTGCTGGGTGCTGGGTGCTGCGTGCTGCAGGAAGTCATAAGTCGTGAAGATGTGGAAGTTCAGAGGCGGCGATTTGCACTGATGGCACATTGCCACGTGCCATAACCTCTTCTCCACGCGTTCAAACGCAAGTTCCAAACGCATGTCCCTTTTTGTCCCTCCTTCCACTCCTCCTTCCACTCCTCCTTCCACTCCTCCCTCCCCGTCCCCCTCGCCCTCTCTCCAGCTGGCGACCTACATGAATTTCCTATCGCGCACCAACAGCGGCGACCGCACAAACAACAGGCTGCCACAGCCCCTCAACGACCGCACCGTCTCGGTGTTCCGTGCCTCGTAGATCCCATGCCCACACTGCCATGCCATGCCTGGCAAAGCATGCGCATGAGGGCAGATGCTCTCGAGGCACATGGGAGGGAGATGTACCAGACATGGTACTGCCAATGCTGCTTTTTGAGTCTGTCTGACTCAAAAGTAGCACAAACAACAGGCTGCCACGGCCCCTCAACGGCCGCACTGTCTCTGTCTTCCGTGCCTCGTAGATTCCATGGCCAATAAGGGGATAGAGCAGGTGTTGGAAAAAGGTGGGAGGGGATGCTAGTATAGGTGTCAGGACAGGTAGAAGGGGGGAAAGGGATGGAGATAAAATAACAGGTGATGGCAGCTTGCTAGCTGAGGGGGGTGGTTTGGGAAGGGAGGGTGGACTGTTGGCTTGTCTCAGCTGACGAGGCAGCTGCCAGCATGTTGCATGTACGGTGGCTTCCTGGTTTGTTGTGGTTTGCTTCTGCTGTATGCGGCGTGTGGTGTTGATCTGTTGATTGCAGTGGGATGAAGTTTCTGTAGTGTTGTAGTAGCCTGTTGTGTGTTTCTAGTACCGTATTCACAATATGAATACTAATTTCATGTCCTGTCTTGTGCACTTGTACACGCAGCAGTCAACAGCTGCTGGTAGGTACTCCCTCTGCATTGAAAAGGCTTGCTTCTTACCATGAATCGTCATTTGAGTCAAGGCTCACAGCAACATCCTCTCGTATACGGTACAGTAATAGAAAGCTCACTACAAAATAACTTGCAACACCTAACAGCCCTTGTTGGGCATCTGATGGGAATGCACGCCAATCATGCCTGAAATTGTGTTACTCAAAGGTTCATGAACCAATTTGACTTGCGGTTCGGAACAAAAATAACAAGTAATGGCCCCACAGTGTCGCAACTACGATGTGACTGCACCTTATGCATGAAGCAAGAGCTGGACAACCTATATTTACAACATGAGCCCCTAGCTGCCATGTGTATGGGATGAAATGGGGTGGGTGATTCAGTTCCCCCCTGGAGCGGTGCTCAGCAAAAAGCCACCATGCGCCACCATGCTCCACCATGTTCCACCGTACTCCACCCTGCTCCACAATGCTCGACCACACTCCACCAGTCTCGTGACCCCAACCGTGGGTCATCACTGTCTGTTGCAAAACAGGTTGAGACTTCCCGATTTCTAAGCAGCACCCACCAGACGCACACCACACTTTCACTTCACACTTCTTAGCACCCAAACCCCCTGCTACAGCCTGCGAGCTTAGTGAACAGGGATGCCTCGAGCTGGGCTCTGAGGGCGCCCTTGGGGAAGGCGGGTGTGGTGACGAGCACGTAGAATGAGGAGGGCATCTGCGAGGGGGGGGGGGGAAGAGAAGGTGGAATGGAGGGAGGCGGGGGTGAGAATGCAGCTGGGCTCTGATGGGGCCCTTGAGGAAGGCGGCCGTGGTGACGAGCACATAGAAGGATGAGGGCATCTGGGAAGGAGGGGGGAGGGGGGAAGGGAGAGGACGGGGATGAAAGCGGAGAGAGGGACGTGAAAGAGAATGTGAGAATCTCGCGCACGTCAACGGAGGCAGGAAGGCATCTGCGAATGAGGGAAGGGAAGGAAAGAGAGGAGGGAGGGAAAGGGTCAGGGGTTGGAGGGAAGGAAGAGAGGAAAGCGGCGCTTTAAGCTGGCCCCCCTGAGGGCGCTTTTGGGGAAGGTGGGCGTGTTGACAAGGATGGAGAAGGAGGCAGGCCTCTGGAGAAGTGTATTTTTGAGGTGCCTCAGAAACAGATTCTGAGGTGCCTCAGAAACAGATTCAGGGGACGGTGAGCACTTGGGAAATGGGAGAGAGAGGAAGAGGGTGAAGAGCGAGTGTGCGGCTTTGAAGGGTGTGGTGAAGCAGACGTGGAGGGAAAGGGGTGCTGAGTGGTGAGGGGAAGGGGATGAGAGTGAGGAGAGGAAGTGAATGCGAGAGTGGATATCGAGTGTGCGGTTATGTAGGGTGTGGTGTGGTGAATTGGACGTGGAAGGAAAAGGGTTCTGAGAGAGGAAAGGAAGGGGAAGAAGAAGGAGAGAATGGGGAAGGGAGTGGAGAGGTGGAAGGGCTGAAATTAGATGACATGTCGCGGGGAAGGAGGGAGTGTGAACAGGAGGTGGAAGGGGGATGAGAGGGGCTCATAAGGGAGTCAGGGAGAATGGGATGAGAGGAGGTGTTGGGAAGGGGATGAAAGAGGGAAGGGGGCGGGAGAGGGAAGGGGGTGGGGGAGGGAAGGGGGTGCGAGAGAGAAGGAGGTGGGAGAGGAAAGAGGGAGGGAGACGCGAGTGAGAAAGGAAGGTGTTGCACGTTGGTGGTGACAATGGCTTTCACGATGGTTTGCCGGCCTTGACGCATGAAACAGTGAGACAATGAGATGCGACAACATGGTGTATACTTGCGATCAATCTCCTGTAAGGAGTGGCACGTTACTGTACCCGCATGATCATCGAAAACAGTAATTTCAGCGATTCTCCTGTTGGAATCCTCGTCTTGCTCGCCTGCTTGAACACGCCCTGAAGCGCAAAACCCTTTCCCGCGCTCGTCCCCCTCCCCTTCCCCTTCCTCTTCCCCTTCCCCTTTCCCTTTCCCCGTCCAAAAAGTTTTCCCATGTTGCCCCACGCCTTGTCAGCACTGCCAGCAGGAATCCACGTGGACGAGTTGAGGTTGAGGATGGATAGACCGTTGGCTGTGGCGGCTGCCACGTGGAGGGATGCTGACGTGGGCTTCTCTGACGTGCTGAGCTGGCTGACCGTGACTTGGTAGCGGATGTTGAGATCTGCTCCTGATCTGCCACGTCGGAGAAGGGGGAGAGATGGGAGAGGCGGGGTTGAGCGGGAAGAGAAGAGAGCTCAGGATAACGAAAATTTAGAGGAGGGGAATCAGGAAAGTTGGGTTAGGAGGCAAGGGAAGGATGGGGTGGTAACGTGGAAGTGAAGGGTGGTATCATGGTTGGAAAAATGAGATAGATTTTGCTTCCATGTAGGAAAGAGTCATAAAATGCGTCTGCTAGAATGTGGGGAAGGAGGGGAGGTGGGGGGAGCAGAGGGGACACTGTGTTTTTATTTTTGTATATTGTGTAACCTCGTAACTTCTCAATCTTATAACGAAAAAACTGTTGAGATGCATACTGTTACTCTTACTTGATTATTACAAACGTCACTTTGCCCGAGGCCCCGCGGTCGCCCGCGCTGCCAACCACATTCGCTCCAGACAGTGTGCCGTGCACCTCCCCTGGCGAACAAGACGACGCGACATGGGAACGGAGAAACAGCTAAACCTCGCATCCGCTCCAGACAGTGTGCCGTGCACCTCCCCTGGCGAACAAGACGACGCGACATGGGAACGGGGAAACAGCTAAACCTCGCATCCGCTCCAGACAGTGTGCCGTGCACCTCTCAGACGAACAAGACGACACGGCATGGGACGGGGAAGCAGCTAGATCTAAGTCGCTTTTGGAAACCTCAAAAGCGGCTCGAATTCGCACCAAACAACATAGCTTGCGAGGCGGACGACGCAACGCGAGGACGGGGTAGCACATTGCAGAGCAGAAGGGGCCGGCGAGGGTAAGCAGGAAATCCAAGGGGGGGACGAGAGGTAAGGGGAATTGGTGAGTGGGAAAAGGTGCGAGTGTTTGCAGAGTTGGTTGGATCGAGGAAGAGGGTGGAAGAGGAGCGGGTATGTGTTGTGGGGCGGAAGAGCGGAAGGGAAGGGGGAGGGTGGGAGGCAAGTACGGAGTAGGAAGCCCCGCTAGGTGAACGCTCATTATAAGGTTTGGGACTAAAATGCACATGCACAAAAACCATACGAGGACACTTGACGACGAGGCACAGACGTGAGGGGAAGGAACATGTGGATATGGGGGGTCGTTGGACACGTGGGCGTGCAGGGAGGAGGCCACGTGGATCAGAGACCCACTGAAAGGAACAGCGATCAGTTTCTGCTGCAACTCCGTCATATTCACATCCCGCTGCCCGCCTCCGCCTCCGCCCCCGCTTCCGCCTCCGCCTCCGCCTCCACCGCCGCCGCCACCGCCGCCGCCGCCGCCGCCGCTGCCAGGGAAGCCCGGAAGTCCCTTAGATGCGACGACTTGAGGGACGTGAGTGAGGGGGAGGGGTGGGAGGGGGAAAAGAGTAAGGGGGAAGAAGTGGACGGGCGGACGCAACGGGACAGTGAGAGAGAGAAGGAAAAGGGCAACATCCGAGGGCGCCTCACAATTAAACCAGAAACTTCAGGACTGATGTGGTGAGGACTGGAGTGTGTGATGGAGGAACTTGAGGCCAAACAGGACAGGCGGGCGCGCGGGAGAGAGTGGGGAGGATGGGGATAAGGGAAATATCTGAGGCGCCTCACAAGCCGCGAGGAAATCCAGGGGTTGCTGCCTGTAGTGGGACGACAGAGGGGTGTGATGGAGGAACTTGGGGGGAGGCATGCCTGGCTGGCGCACGGGGGAGAGAGTGTGAGTGAGGCGCCTCACAAGCCGCCAAGTGAGCCAGGATCGCGGCCTGGAATCCGCGTGTGTGAGATTCAGCGGCTGTGGCTGGTGTGGGGAAAAGGAGTTGAGAGGGGGAGAGAGTGTGAGAGAGGCGCCTCACAAGCCGCCAGGTGAGCCAGGATCGCGGCCTGGAATCCGCGTGTGTGAGATTCAGCGGCTGTGGCTGGTGTGGGGAAAAGGAGTTGAGAGGGGGAGAGAGTGTGAGAGAGGCGCCTCACAAGCCGCCAGGTGAGCCAGGATCGCGGCCTGGGATCCGCGTGTGTGAGATTCAGGGGCTGCGGCGCTGGTGTGGGGAGATTTTTTAGCCGCCTCAAAGGTGGCGTTGTTGCGGGGAAAAGGAGTTGAGAAGGGGAGAGGAGAGTATGCGGATTCAAGCGCTGGACTGACGGGGCGCTTTCCAGCCGTCGCCAGTGATTGTTTTTGCGGCTTAAAAAGTCGTCCGAAGCCGTCGCCAACAGGTTTGTGTCGCCTAAATGGTCGCCAAAATCCGTCGCCAGCATGACGCGCAGTGTCGCGAAATGTGTTGACAGGAATTGATTGTGCAAGATGGATATGCTGTTATGCCAGAGGGTGATATGGAAGAAAAAAACTAGTGGAATAAGCCGTCAGAAACTGACAGTGCATTGGCATATGCTGCTTGCTGTTATGTCAAAACTTTTAGTTAATTTTAAAAAATGGCTCGCTACACGCTATTTTTCTTGTCGACTCTGAAATGGGCTAGCGGGAACTGACAGTGCATTGGCATACACTGTGTGCTCTCGCGTCAGAGGAAGATTGTCACCCTTTTGCCATTGCCAGCAAAATCTCAACATTCGCTGTGGTTCAATTGCGAGGGAAGAAGACTCACGGATTAATGGTAGAATAAGAGTTCCTAGTAGCCCTGCGGGCAATCGAAGAGTTGACGTGGCGCCTCGCCAGCGTCGATTAGGTGCGGAGTTGGCCGGAAACGTCGTATCGCACATGCTGTTTTTCCGTTTCAGCGCGGTTTTACACCTAATGCTGGTAGCACTCCAAGAAAACTATAACACCTGATTATTCTTTCCTTCGATATCCAAATCTGCCCTCCGGCACTGGCGGAACAATAAGATTCTGCTCGAAGAACCAGATGCGACCGCGGAACCCGGAAGCCTAATCTTACGACATTATTAGTGAAGGTGCGTGTGAGCTCTATTAACGGCTGCGGTCAATGCTACGGTCTACGTCGCGAGTCAAGGGAGGTGACTCGAAGGAAGGCGAATTCAGAAACGGAACGAACGAAAGAGCACGCGACTGTGTCCTGTGTCGAGGCGTGGCCCGTGGGTCTCTTGCTTTGCTCCTTGTGGTTCGTCATGCACATCTGTTGTAACTGAGAGACACTTTTCTGATTGCGCCCCCGGCAAATTGTACTTCAGCCCGATGAGAGGGCACTGAGCAACATGTTTTGCGAGAATTGCAGGGATGGCATGGAAGCAGCCATTTTACGTGCTGGGCTAAACGCGGTCCGGTCGTCGTGGCACATTGGATTGGATCCTCCTCCTCTCCCTCTGACGCACCGCATTCTCCTCGGCTGACGTGTGGTGGCACCCCAATACTCATGTATAGCATCTCCAACACCAGATATTTGGCCTTTACTTCGGTACACGTCTAGGAGAGTCATATTACGGCTAAGAGAGATAGGAACATGGGGCATAACCATGTGCTAATGATAGACGATTTATTATGCTGGTTTTTATTTCTGAAAAAGATTTAATTCTAAGTCTGGAGTGGGTACAAGCATTAAAAGAATGTGGGTACATAGAACAATTGTATAATGTAGCATTATAGCAGGTGCTCATGTAGCAGCTCTAAGAAATATTCACCAACAAGTGCAGGCAATAATCACAGCCTCCCTGAATTTCGCGCTTATCGCGCCGTCGCATGCGCGAGAGACCGAAACAAGAGGCTATGTCAGAAATCAATTGTGCATGTGATACAGCGTCGCGTGATTATTCCTCGCGAAGGGTTGAACGAATTATGGATCATAAGTTCGTTACTTCGTGAACAGAATCACTCATAGTTCGCGCCCTCACCACAATTATTCGCAACTTAGTTGGTCACACCGACGACCCAATTTATCCAAAGCTGTGTGAGTCACCTGCGCGACTCACGGTGCCTTTCCTCCAAGCAATTCGAAGTAGAGTATATAAGGAGCAGCCACCGCCGCTCATCTCATCACGAAATCCAAACATCTTTACCATCCTTACTCAGAGCTGCTTATAGTAGCACCAGCTTGAACGTCTCCACCTAGAAGCAAAAATGACTTTCTTCGGCCACTCACCCGCTAAGTCCACTTTTCTTGTCCTCGTCATCGCTTCCGCGATGCTCCTTTCCGCCCTTGCCCGCGCCTCTGCCGCTGCTGGTTCCGCCAACGCGACAGCGCCTGCTAAAGCGCCTGCTTCTGCTAAGTCGGCCGCGCCTGCTAACGCCACTAAGTCTGGAAATGCTACTAAAATCGGTAACAGCGCCGTCGGAATGGCGACGGCGAGGCAGAGCAAGGGCTCGGGCGAAGGGAAGAACTCCACATGCGCCTACTACGGCAACTACAACGCGAACCCCTACTTCGCCAAGGGGCTCACGGCGAAGCTTCCTCCCGCGCTCTTTGGCAAGCGGTGTGGCGCGTGCTACAAGGTGGAGTGCACTAACGACACGAAGCGCTGCCGCAGCGGCAAGGCGATCGTGACCGTCCGCATCGTTGGCGAGACGATCACGGAGAATCAGCTCACGCTCTCCGCCGTCTCATGGTCCAAGATCGTGCAGGGATCCGACACCGCCCCCGTCGGCGTCAAGTACAAGCGCACCAACTGCCTTTCGACCGTCGGATCGGGCGTCCGTGTGCGCAGCAACTCTACCGTGGAGAAGTTCAACATTCAGATGGTGGGGCTGGCCGGCCCAGGTACGCTTACCGAGGTGGAGCTTAGCGCGGACGGCAAGAAGTGGGCGAAGCTGACGCGCGACGGCAGCAAGGCCGTGTGGGGGATCGCAGGCGCGCAGGCGAAGGAGGTTGTGGGCGCGAAGAAGGCGATGAGCGTTCGCCTCACCGCGGGACACACCCTCGAGAAGATCACCCTCGAGAATGTCATTCCCGCCAGCTGGAAGCCCCAGACTGTGTACTCGTCCAAGGCCAACTTCAAGAAGCTCTTGCCTGAGGCTAAGTAGACGCCGGTGTGAAGAGTGCTCGAGGCACCGCCTTAAGAGCCTCTGTGCTCGTCAAAATGGCAAGTAGGGGACGGCAGTGACGATTTCAGTAAGGACGTGAGGGATGATGGAGGGGTCTAAAGTGCTTTTAGGGGTCATGGCTGATTCTTGTGGGATGGTGGCTGGAAGGGGAATGGGTTAGTGGGGAAGTGGGTTGGGGAGGGGAGCGTGAAGAGTGCTGGGACTTGAAGATAAGTTTCTTTATTCATTCTATATATTGTGTTGCTTTAAAACACTTAAAAGATCAGAGGTACATGCCTTGTACGCTCCCACACACACCTTGCCAAAGGGGTCACTGGAGGTCCAGAGAGGCATTGAGCCAGGACAGAAAGCATGAAACCCTCTGGAAGTCTTATTACGCATGCATGCGACAGCAACTGCTACAGTTACAGATGGGCAGCATCCCCCCACTAATGTCATAGTATGGACTGTGGAGGGAATTGGCAGGGTGTATAGCATGGGCAGCGCCCCTGCAATAGGGCCATGGATGGGGTGGGGTGGGAAAGGGTAGAAATGCCCCCATGCCATCACCGCCACTCAGTGGCATTGAGGCAGAACATATTACTTCCTGATAAACACAGGGGCCTGATATATGGTGTTCAAATAAGGAAATACTTTGGGCAAGATGATTAAATGCAGATAACAAAGAGAACGCTCATTCCGTTATGTATGCCTAACGGATATCGCCAACGAAAGGTCCAAGCATCCAAGAAACTATCTGTGTATAACTTGGAGGGCGCGTTCACGAGGAGATCCATCGCGCCCAGCCAATATCCTAGGTTTGGGTTACGCGCCCAGTCACCCGGCACCCCGCATGATAATAGTTGAACAGGGGGGCGCATCTGCTGAATTCTCTCGCAGTTCCCCCGGCACAGCCTGTTGCTGCTGCTGCTGCTGCTGCTCGTGCGGCGGTTGCCGGTGTCTTCTGCCTAGGCTCCTGCTCTGCTCATTGCTTCGGCCGCTAACTGATCCCCCTCTTATGTGGGCACGTTGAGGGTAATCTAGTCGGTGCTAACTGTAAGCTGCCCGCGAACGGCGCCAAGAGGGTACGCGGGCGTTTTTACAACGATGTAGAACTGCTTAGGGTCCTTCAGGATCGCGAGAATCAGCTGCTTTACAGTCTCGCCCGATACAATCTTGTCCTCGCTCGTCGCGCTGTACGTTCCACTAAGCATGTAATTGTTCCCCTGCGTCGTCCGCGTTACAAGGCGCTTCGCGTTGGGGTTAAAGCGGCGCCAGTTAGCCTTCTCGAAGCGAAAGATTTCCGGGCCGTTGGCGCGGGCCCGAGCCACGTGGATAGCGGCGGACACGGGAACCTCGGTGTTGGTGAGCTGCGACACGGTCACCATGTAATTAAGACTGAAGTCGCCGCGCCACCTGTAGGGCGGAGAGAGAGAGAGGATGAGAGGACGGCGGGTAAGAAGAGAGTGAGAGGAGCAGGCCCCTCGGTATTGGTGAGCTGCGACACGGTCACCATGTAGTTCAGGCTGAAGTCTCCGCGCCACCTGCAGGGGGAAAGCAGCGGGGAGAGAGAGAGGATGCGAGGACGGCGGGTAAGGAGAGAGCGAGGGAGGCAGGCACCTCGGTGATGGTGACATGTGAGATGCCTACCATGTAACTGAGGCTGATGTCGCCGCGCTAGCTGAGGGGAGATTATCAGGAGCGCGAATACGCATATGGGAGACCAAGAATTCAACGGGGAAAAGAAGGGGCCGAAGGGTTTGCTTCCAGAGTTATCAGAATCAAGAGCTAACGGACGTGAGCAAGAAGCTTTCGTAAACCGGCCTCACGGAATTTCTGTCTCCAGCGATTGTAGCAAGAGCTAAGGCGCTTGAAGCACACTCACTTGTACACGACGAGGTTGGCCCAGCCGGTGGCCTGCTGATCGCCCGTGGTGGCGACGATGTCGCTGCCGGTCATGCTCGCGTGTAGCTCCTCTGTAACCAAGAAGGTGGAGAGAGAGAGGTTTGGTGAAACATGTTGGTTCTTATGAATTTAACATCTAGACATAACACCCCATCCACCCCGTTTTGAGACGTCTAAGTTTTTTGAAACGTCTCAAAACCCGTTTTGAGACGTCTCAAGACATGTACATTTTTGTGGATTTAACATCTAGACAGAACACCCGGTCCTCCCAGTTTCGGGCCATGGGCGAAACGGACGCCTGAAACTTTTGTGTTTTAAACCATTGCATGTCGTGGAAGACTGAATGATCGGTTGAAGTAAGTTCAAAACGAGCTTTCAGACTTACTGTAGGGTACTCTAAGAACCCCTGCCGTCAATCGCGTGGTGTTGAAGACTGCCGCCCAGTTGATGGCGCGGCCGTTCCGCGTTTGCGCGAATGAGCCTGCGTCATAACGGAGACATAGCATAGAAATGACAAGGTTTAGCGTCGGCCCCGGTGAGGGGACGAGGCAAAGGTGGGAGAGAGAGCAGAAGGGAGAACGATTAAAACAACAAAAGTATGTGGTTCTAGCTGAATAGAATAGCGCTCGTCCACTCGGACAGGATATCTGCGAAATAAAACCGCCGCTTGCAGTAAACGTACATGAAACAGGCAGGAGTAGGACCAGAACGAATAGCAGCGTTGTTCTTGATGCCATTTTCACTCCCTCGCGAAGAAACACTCAATTCTAATTCAGCAGAATCGCGCCTACAGTGATCCTGTATAGTCGATGGCCTGGTATGTGGGGAGAAACTAGCGTAACCTGAAAACGAATCCCGTCTTGATAATGGATGCCGAAAATTATGGCATTTAGAAGTTTAAGTAGTTGTCAATGGTTGCTCTTGTGGTTAGCAACTTAGCACTACCACCTAACGGTTGTGACGAATTTGAAGAGGCGGAACCCTTGTTGCTCCTGGAATGCTGATGAAATTGTGCACGACCGAATTGGCTGGAGGAGGTTGGGATTCAAATTGCGGCATGCGGCGCGTCTAGGTGCGGCTCGGACTAGGAAGGGTGATAGATTTGGCTCTGGCTGGATGCTTGTTCGTGCGGGTTTTGCGGAGGGTATGTCGTGGGGGGGAAGTGCTGGCGCCCAGATTCTGGATGGTAGCAGCTGGCACATTTGAACACTGTCGCCACGAAACCCCGCACTTGTCGCTCGCAACAGCGACACTTCTGCCAACTCACTGGTAACCAGAAAAGTTCAATATGAGCAGTTCAGCCACAGAACACTTGAAAACACTATGAGGGGAAACACGGACCAATTAAGTGGTATAATCATTTTCTCAATGTTGTTCATAATTCGAGACCCGACTGCCTAATCTAAAGAAGATTGCGGCCAGTCTGCCCGCCATTCTCCTGGTGACAGTTGCACGACGTTGATTGCCCAATGGCCAGCGGAGAGCTTCGAGCACAACCACACAGAGAGATCATGAACACAAAAACCTTACAAATTGGTGAGCAAAAGGTGGGGATAACGACACAGATATTGGCCCAATAATAATAATAATAATAATAATTAAAAAGACGTTTATGCAGGCTCCACAATCACACTCACCTTGTCTAGAAACTGCGAATACTCTGAAGCCATCCAGGCAGCTGCCCGAGCCTCCGCCGCCTCCACGAGTGACAGCCTCGACGAAGCTTCACTCCCTGCCGAGCCTACTCCATTCCGAGCCTCTTGCCAGATCTCTTGGAGGGCTGTGAGAGCGTGGATGTACGCCTGAAGCACGTCCGCATTCGATGCATCTCGATGGATGATGGCGTGGACATGCGGCAACGATGGTGATGGTGTTGGTGGAGAGTGTGATTGTAACGATGGTAATCTTGTGGGTGTGAACACCAGAAGGTAACGACCTGGGGGGGATGGAGATCAAGAAATTGGAGAGAGCGGAGAGGAGCATAGGAATAGGGGGGGGTGTTTTATACATTTGGTAGGCGGTGGGGAGGAATATGAGCGACTTCTTTGCTCAGAGCAGAGTGTGGTGTCGGGAATTTAAGGGGTGAGACAGCTTCAGAATCGCAGAGGCCATTAGAGCCGGCTGGAAGTCAAAGGAGATGCGGACAAGAAAGCAGGAAAGCATCGGTTGAATGTGCGTTGAGAGGAGGGAGAGCGTGGAGCCCACTGCTGCTTTTGAGTCGACTCAAAAGAGAGAGGCGCGCCATGGGGTCCAGAATCCGATGCATGCTTTTGAGTCGACTCAAAAGGAGAGCGTGGAGCCCACTGCTGCATCGATTCATATTGAAGCAGCATGGAGATGGGCACAGCGAAGCAGAGTGCGATTTTTGAGACGTCTCAAAAGCTGAGTGCGATAAGAGGCAGAGTGGAATGAGAGGCGGCGTCCACGAGATGCAGGGCACTCACAAACACTGCAGGCTCAGAGTGTGCGAATCGCATGCCCACCTTTGGCATAGCGTCTGATGGCCTGCCGCACGGCAAGGTCTCTAGCGAGGGGGCGACGAGCAGACGGGGAGGCCCGACAGGGCAGGAAGTAAAGCAGACAGCGGGTGGTGGGAATGGGGAGAGGAGTGGGGAACGGGGACTGTAGTGAGGACGAGAAGCAAGACAGAGGATGAGCAAAAAGCAAGAAAGGATGAGCCAGCGCGAAGCAGGCAGGCAGGTGAGCAGCCAACAATAAGGATGATGGGAAGGTCAAAAGAAGAACACTATATATACACATGTATACATATCTAAATGAGTGTTTGTGTATATAATATGTTTGCGTGTTTGCGTGTGTATAAATTACATGTATATGTACATGTATGTATATGTATATGTATACATACAGTCACATGTCTACATACAGTTTCTTGCCGTGCAAGTCACTCAAGCGAGCTCCCAAGTGCACATGCCCCATGAGCATGTGCGCCCTGCCGTGGCTGCCCTGAGGCAGAGAGGGAATGAGGCGCTCCTGTAGAGAGACAGCAGTTGGGGAGAGGACTGCAGAGGGGTGGGGGGGAGAAGGAAGGAACGGCGGGGAGTGGGAAGAAATGGGGGGAGTGGGAGGGAGTGGGAATTTTCAGACACATTGTCCAAGACTATGGCACAGCGCAATAAGAACCCCCATTGATAGATACCCAGCACTGTCTAAACCATCGCTCACCTCTCAACCATAAATCACTCTACATTCCACAGCTTCCATATCCCCAACCCATGCACCCCCCTCTATACCCCCCACCTTCCATCTTCCTTGCCTCTGCACCCCTCTGCACCCCTCACCTTGCTTCTGCTCGCCCCGGTACGCCAGCAGCAACAGTGCCACCCTCTCTCGGTTGAGGCTCGTGAGGCACAGGCTCTTCACGGCGCGGTAGTTGGCTGCTCTGTTCAAAGCGGGGGGAAATGGCGGGTGTGCAGGGGAGGGAGGTGGGGATGTGGGGAGAAGGCGGGTAGTATTGCTGTGCGTGTGAGGCAGGCTCTTCACGGCGCGGTAGTTGGCTGCTCTGTTGAAAAGGGGTGGGGGCCGGGAGGAGTGTGGCGGGGTTGAGACACAGAAGGGAGAAGCGAGTGGTGTTGTCGTGTGTGTCAGGTGCAGGTGCTTCACAGCGCACTAGTTGGCTGCTCTGTTTGTAGCGTGGGGTTGTGGGAGAGTGAGGGGTATGGGGAGTAGCAGGAAATATTGTTGAGGCTCGTGAGGCACAGGCTATTCACCGCGCGGTAGTTGGCTGCTCTGTTTGTAGCGTGGGGAAAAAGGGGGGTGTTGAGAGGGGGATGTGGGGAGAAGGCAGTATTGTTTGTGTGTGTCACGCATATGCTCTGAATCGCTAGGTAGTTGGCTGCTCTGTTAGTTGTGTTGTGGAGAGGTGTAGGGTGGGGGGGGGGAGAGGTGGCAGCGGTGGCAATACCGTCGCGTCGTGTTCATGAATCACAAATGCTCTCAGGGCGATGCCAGCACCGCCATGGCCATAGCACACAGCATGGAATGGCAGGCCACACCACATTGCCGGCCACCAGCTACCCCACCACCCCCACCACCATCCCCACCACCATCCCCACCACCATCCCCACCACCATCCCCACCACCATCCCCACCACCATCCCCATCACCATCCCCACCACCATCCCCACCACCATCCCCACCACCATCCCTGCCACCATCCCCACCACCATCCCCACCACCATCCCTGCCACCATCCCCACCACCATCCCCACCACCATCCCTGCCCCCATCCCTGCCACCATCCCTGCCCCCATCCCTGCCACCATCCCTGCCACCATCCCTGCCACCATCCCTGCCACCATCCCTGCCCCCATCCCTGCCACCATCCCTGCTACCATCCCTGCCCCCATCCCTACCCCTACCCTGCCACCATCCCTGCCACCAACCCTGCCAGCATGCACACAGCAAGCCAGACCACACAGTACCGTAGACGTGGAAAGCAGTGAGGGAGAGGAAGACAGCCCACAGCAGCACCACATTGCCCGCCACCAGCTGCCCCACCACCATCCCCGCCAGCATGCCTGCCATCGTTGCTGCCGTCTCCTGACTGCCCTCCTGATTGTGTGCGTGTCAGCGGGATCAGGTGGGAGGAGAGACGTTTGGGTCGACTCAAAAGTCACATCGGGTGGGAGGAGAGAGGAGATAACGTGTGCGTGTGTGCTTGCACGCATGCGTGCTTGTATGAAGGATGTATTAAGGTGACTTTTTAGGCGCCTCAATACACGTGGTTCTAGGAACGATGTACATGCACGATACAGGCACACATACAGCTTCTCTCTACTCCCTCTCCCTACTCCCTGCTCGCTCTTCCATCCTCCCTCCTCCCTCCTCCATCCTCCCGCCTCCCTCCTCCCTCCAACCTCCTACCTCCCCCTATAAACTCGCAAGAACATCGCACCGGACAACGGTTCAAAAGAGCGCCTATACAGTACCTTGGCGGAGATGTCTGCAGCGTTCTGCCTTTTAGCAAAGTGTTGTGTAAGTGCCGCTCTGGTGGCCCCACTGGCCGTGCCGGCTGGAGCAATTTGGGGGAGGAAAACGAAAAAAACAAGGGAGATTTAGGGGGCGAGAAATGGGCGTGGAGTAACGGGGGATCGTATGAGAGAGGGGAATTTCTGAGACGTCTCAAAAACACCCTCTCTACACGTGGCTATCTAGGGGGCGAGAAATGGGCATGGAGTAACGGGGGATCGTATGAGAGAGGGGGATTTCTGAGACGTCTCAAAAACACCCTCTCTACACGTGGCTATCTAAGGGGCGAGAAATGGGCGTGGAGTAACGGGGGATCGTATGAGAGAGAGGGATTTCAAAGCCTGGCTGTCATTGATGTGGTATCCACAAGAAAGGCTTGCGACGTATGGACAACAAGAGAACCCCGAGATTGAAAAGAAGAACAAGAAGGCTTTGACCAGAAAGGTGCTGCTCCTGAGAAGACGAAACGCAGCAAGGACGGACAGGAAGCAGGGTGGTTTTGAGAATTCTCAGAAAGGTACCACCCTGCAGCACAGCAAGGAGGGACGGGACAGCAGAAGCAACAAGGTGCTGTTCCTGAGGGGAATGCAGGAAGTGTGACAGCAGAGAGGTGGTGGAATGGCTATGAAACATACCCAACGACCAACAAGCAGTCAGTGAAGGGACTTACTTATGGCTCGAGAGATGTTCCCAAGGCAGAGCAGTGGTAGGAAGGTGTTGCTTTTTGAGAATTCTAAAAAGCACATCAGAGGCATGGCCCACGGGGCGTGTTTTGAGTCGACTCAAAGCACATCGGAGGCATCGCCAACGGCCAACAAGCGGTCAGTGAAGGGACTCACTTATGGCTCGGGAGATGCTCCCGAGGCAGAGCAGTGGAAGGAAGGCGGAGGGCACGAGAGGGTGAGAGCAGATCCAGAAGCATCCCTGGTTGGCAATGGGGAAACGAGAGGGGAGGGAGTGGGAGGGAGGGAGAGAGAGAAAGAGGGGGGGGGGGAGGGGGGAGAGGGAGAGAGGGAAGGAGGGAGGGCAGGAGAGGGAAGAGAGGCGATGACTGTGGGGGAAGAGATTTAGAGAGTGAAGGAAGCAAGATGTTGAGATGAGGATTCATGAGAAGCTGGAAAGTAGGGAAACGGAAGCTGGGCATAGTCAGGAGGCAAGGAGAGGTGTGTAACGGGGAGAGCACAGAAATAGAATATAGAAGGCAAAACAAAGAGAGCGGGCGAGCGAGCACACAGAGAACTAGTAGCGCACCGATATCATTGATGACATCAGCAGCCAGCCTCCACTGCTTGGCATTGCTGTCGAGATTCGATCCCTGCATGCAGCCACAGAGAAGGATTTGGATTAGGGTTTCGGCAGTCACAGGTTTGCAAAGTGGGGGCTTGGGGGGTTTGGGATTGAAGACTTGCAATGCGGGAGTCACAAGAAGAAGGGCTAATGATTTGTTAATAAAGCGTGTGACAATATTGGAGAGTAACGTGGATTGCATATGAATATAAGCAGTAAGTGAGTAGTGCCAAAAGTGTGGACCAGATGACAGTTCCCACAGAAACAATGTTGAAAATTGTATTCCACTTAGCAGACGATAACGAAATATACAAATAATTGCCTTCACTGAGCCGTTACTGTACCTTGTACATGGCGAAGAGAATGCCTCCAAGCATGCCTGTGAAGTCACGCACGAACCACTGCGTGCATAGAAGCAGGGGGCAGCACGTGAGAGTGAGAGAACGGAAAGCATATGCTTATTCTTCTCGTGAGAGAACAGGAGAAGAATGGGAAAAAGAGGGCAGCGAGGGCCGAACGAGGAGGTATTCACGATTTGACTGAAACTGCAGGGTGAAAGGGACACTTGAGGAAGTGCAAGGAGCAGTTAAAGCCTTAGTGGCTGACCTGGAACGTGGCACTGATGGCTGAGGCGGATTCCCGACCCACTCCCAGCCCTGCCAGCAGCACCTGCGGGGGACGCAGGGACGAAGAAAGAGGGAGTGGAGATTTGAGGCGCCTGAAAAATCATCTCATCTCATGACCGGATGCAGCTCCTGGGAGGCTGATGGTAAGGAAGATACGGAGTGAGGCTAAAGAAGAGAGCAGTGAGGCAGAGAGGCGGAGAGGCGGAGACGAAAGAAGGAAGGGAGGAATAGAGGTGGAGGAAGAAAAATGCCACCCATGTGAATGTACCTGCGTGGATAGCATGCTGCGTATGTATGTTGAGAGTCCCTGCAATAGAAGGGCGAATGGGGGCGGGGCGGAGAAGGGGAGATGCGGAGGAGAGAAGCTGGACTGATGAGACAAGACCGAGGGGGTGGTATGATGGTGGTAGGTGTGCACTGATCACTGATGGCCAGTCACAAGAGAGCCCATGAGCAGGAAGCATGGATAAGGACGAAATGAGAAGAGGCGTCAGTGGCATTGGTGAGGTAAAAGGGCAGGTGGGTGACATCATGTGAATCATGGCGACCACGTGGGTCATGGTAACCACGTGGGTCATCACGTCTAACAACCCTTGGGGCGAGTTACAAACACCTGTAGGGTGTCCCACGTTTGAAACGCCAAGTAGTCATCTGTAACACTCTCAGGGTAGCCCTGCCACAGCAAAGAAAACAGCAAAAGGAAGGAGAAGGAAGCAATGCAAAGGATACCTTTGGATTAACGCACTAAATAAGAACCTGCTTTTGAGTCGACTCAAAAGCAAAGGATACCTTTGGATTAACGCACTAAATAAGAGCCTTTGCCCCATCACGGGCGTCTAGTATGCATTTGACCGCACACACGTGACCTGAGACACGACCTTACTGACACATGCGTGCATGTGTAATTAATACGACTGGTGAGACAAAAGCACAAGGTTGTGTGGGATTTGAAGACTCTATCCTGGTGAGGAACTCGCTTCTCCTGCTCCTCTTTTTCTTTCCTGGCAGCACAGACACCTTTCCCTTCACTCTCCTCCTCCCCTCTCCGCGCACCTCTGGCAGGAACGCCCCGCGCAGTGTGCGCGTGAGGGAGCCGAGCGAGCCACTGCCGCGCGCGGACCTGGGGAAACGGCGGAGCGCGGAGGATTGGGACGCCGGGAAGCGGCCGGGCGGAGAAGGCGCAAGCGACCCTTGAGTTAACTCCGAAGTTAAGAGTTACGGCGCGGGGGAATGGCAGGGAGGAAAACGCGCAAGAGAGACCACAGACAGGGCAGCGTAGACCGTTTGGCGTCCGCGAAAGCCGCAGTCCACAAGCAGTCTAATCGAACCCGACGTGAGAGAGCAGCGAGACGCGCTCCGAACGTACAATCACGCGAAACGAGCAGCGACACGCTATAACAAGGCGATTCTATGTGAACTGGGGGGCGAGGCGCACTTGAGAACGCGAATGGACGATGGCGAGTCCATGAGACCAGCTAGCGCCGCAGGCACCCTGCCGGTCCTGTTGCCATCCCCGCCGCCGCCGCCGCCGGTGCCGCTGACGTTGATCTCCTCGACCCAAACAGCTGTACGCGACGCATTCGGACCGCGACCGAAGACCTCCTCTATAAGCACATCTCCGGTTAGCGAACCGTCACGTTTCGTGCTATTCGCCATCACGTCGGCGAAAATCTCGTTACTTGAAGAACGGTCACCACGAACGGGCAATGGATGATGTACATCCGACAATGGTTTTATTTCAAATTTCAGGCATTGAGGTTCGAGTTGATCACTTTTGAATCGATCGTCAATAGAGTTACCCGCATTGTTTTGATCGCCCATTTCGTCAAGTACTAAACTGTGATCCCAAAAGTGTTTCGTGCCAGAAACTAGTTGGTGCCTGATTTCGGGCTGCGATCCCAAAAGGGCTTCGTCTAGCCAGAATGAGGTCACTCGCTAACTATTTACAATCGCATTGCGGTTACTCTTCGTCCCGCAACGTGCTTGGGGGCAGGCGAAACTCAAGGGACCAAGTCGCGAATTCGCGAAGCCCCAATTTTGTCGGATAAACTGTTACTTCCGCAACCCACTTCTCCCTGTGGCTCTCCAACGTCCAGCACTTCGTTCCTTCACCCCTCAACAACCCCCCACAAGCAACCATGAGTGAAAGCAGTACATTTTCGCTAATAGCAAACCCAAACCTCATCAATTGCGAGCGCACCGAGTTTTGGCCCAGACACTTACTGGAAGGCCATGCCAATTATGCCATCGTCAACTGCGATCAATCCGCTGATCGGCGCGAAATGTGGTGGCCGAATGCGAGCCACGTAGTATGAATGTGCGACTCTGAGCACCGCCGTGGCCTGAGTCCTAGGATGAATGCTCGAGCCGCGTACCAACGTTACTAATTTCATACATTTAGGAATATCGTATCCATGGATGCATGAACGCACAGGGCTGACGGGGGCGCCATGATGGCGAGAAGGTCCGCGTCGCGGGGAGGGCAAGCCGGCGCCTTCCCCGCGGCCCTGTCCACGGAGCATCGCGGAAGCTTCCGCGCGGACGACGCCGAGCGCAAGGCGCACCACCCGTCCCTCCACAAGATTCCCCGCGGCGCGCGCGTCGTTCTTTTAGCAGGCACCGTTATAGTCACGCTTCTCGGGTTTTCCGCGTTCGCGTTTTCAGGGTCCTTCCGCCAAGCCCTGCTGAGTCAGCTCCGCCCGTCTTCCGCTAATCCTTCCGCCGACCTCGCGCTCGAGGTCGATTCCGCAGCTGTTTCCCGCGGGGATGCGCAGGTGGCGGAGGAGGGAATCGGGGAGGCCCGCGCAGCGGAAGGGGAAGGTACCTCAGCGGAAGGAGGGGGCGGAGCGGAGGGAGAAGGCGGAACAGAAAGGGAGCAGCAAGTGGAGGCGGCGGATAATGGGGGAGAGGGGACACGCAGGATTGAGGGTAGGCGGAGGAAAAGCAGGGGGAAGCGGAGGAGGAGGCGGAGGGTGGTGAGGGGCGATCGCGACAAGTGGGTTACCGAGTTACGGAAGAAGCCGTCGTGGCGAATCGTCAGTGGCTTCCAGGTGGGCACTGCGTGTTGGATGTTGTGTTTGCTTTAGGCCCTCCAATCTGCTCACCTCTGCTAATTCTGCTAATCAATCAGCTGGGTCAAACGGGTGTGCTAAATCAGTGGGTTACCAAGAGGACCCTCAATCAAACGTGGACTCACTCTCACGCTCACGCTCACTCCTGCCTCCTGCCTGCCTACCAACCAGGGCGTGCCAGCAACTCACCTCATCGCGGATTCAGACTCCCTCGCCTGTGCCCTCGTGGTGCGCCGCGCCTGCCACTTCTGGTCGCCTATCGGCCTCCCCAACCCCTCTTCCTCTGCCTCTGCTGCTGCTGACGGTGCTGCTGATACTGCTGATGGTGGTGCCAGTAGTGGCAGTGGGAGTAAAGCCACCACGACCCACGGGCACTACAGTGGGTACTGGTACAGCATGGACGGCAGGGATTTGTCTCTTCTGCGCTCCAATGATGACGTGTGCAGCCACAGGACCAGGCAACTCCCGAAGCCGTTTTCGCCCAAGAGATTCGGCACCACAGACAAGTACGTGCGTTATGGCTAAGTGTGTGTTGCCGCTAAGTGTGTGTGTTGGGGTACGTGCATATATTCTGATGTATGACTTCAGTCATGCGGGCCTTTGCTGCAGTGAATGTAACCAGTAAGCTGCAAGTGAATGTAACCAGTAAGCTGCAAGTGAATGTAACCAGTAAGCTGCAAGTGAATGTAACCAGTAAGCTGCAAGTGAATGTAACCAGTAAGCTGCAAGTGAATGTAACCAGTAAGCTGCAAGTGAATGTAACCAGTAAGCTGCAAGTGAATGTAACCAGTAAGCTGCAAGTGAATGTAACCAGTAAGCTGCAAGTGGTCGGCAGGTTGGTGGGTGGGTAGCAGCAGATGCAATGACTAATAAACACGCACTGCGCTTCCTCCGTGCAAAATACCAGCTCCTTCTCTCTCTCTGCATGCCCTCGTGTATGCCCTCGTGCATTCCCTCGTAAAACGGTTCTCTCTCTCTGCATGCCCTCGTAAAACGGTTCTCTCTCTCTGCATGCCCTCGTGCTTTGTAAAACGGAACAAAGCACTTTATCACGTCTTGCTGCGTCTTTCAAGCACTTGCACAAGTACGCAGGTTGGCCTCTGCATGCCGTTCTTTGCGGTCGTCACGTGAACGTGCACCATGTGTTTAAGCTTGTTCCTGTTATGGGCACGTTGTGGACCATGATGGCATGGTATGGTGCATGGGGTTGGCATGACATGGCATGACATGGCATGGCATGGCATGGCATGGCATGGCATGGCATGGCATGGCATGGCATGGCATGGCAGGGTCCAGGAGAAGATGGGCATCTTTCTGTCAGCAGAGCAGCGCGATCAAATACTGCAGCAGCAGTGCAAGCTGGGCCACAAGGTGATTCTCTTGCTGCCATCGCAAACTGATGCTCCTACCCTACAACAAAAGAAGAAAAAGGGAAGGGATAGCGAAAGGAAGAATTAAAAAGCCCACAGCAGTCCAGGCTGGGAGGCAAGATGATGGTCGTGCGTGCCATGCCATGATGGTCGTGCGTGCCATGGTGTCCCTCCCTCCTGACCCCTCACCTGTGGAAAGTAGATTTTTGAGACGTCTCAAAAATCTACTTTCCACTCGTGCGTGCCGTGATGTTCCTTCCTCCTGACCCCTCACCTCCCCACCCACCCTACCCCCACCCTCCTGCTATTTCTCCCTCTCTCTGCACCCCAGCCGCCAGAGTGGGCAGATGTGACCTCCCCAGGGAGGCAGCTACCCAGGTACCGCCGGGCAGTGATGTCACCGCACGACTCGTTCCTGGGGCACTTCTGGGAGCGCGTGGGCGTGCTGGCGGAGCTACTCCTCGCGCTCCATGAGTCCCTCTCCCTCCCCCCGCCCTCCCCTCCACCCTCCGCCTCTCCCCCTCCTCCCCCTCGTGCTTCGCGCTCCAGTGGGGATGGTCTGGGCGGTGGGGTGGATGGGGAGGGGGGAGAGGAGGGAGGTGATGGGGAAGGGAGGAATGATGGTGGTTCCAGTGCTGATGGCGGCGCTGCTGATTCTGGTGTTGAGGAGAGTGGGGCAGCAAGAGGAGGGGAGGGAGAGGAAGAAGGGACAGTGGGGGAAGGTTCAGAGGAAAGGGATGGGGTTGCTGTGTCCATGGTCACTTCTTCTGCTGGTGCTGCAGATGCTGCATCGTTCACCCCAGTGGTGCTGACTCCCTCTCCCCTCACGCACACTGCAGTGATGTTTGGCACCGACATTGATGGTACGGCATGGGCCCGTCATTTTGGCACGAAGTGATGTGGAATGGGATGCGGTGATATGAGGTGGGTGGGTGATATGGCATGTGTGATGTGGCATGTGTGATGTGGCATGTGTGATGTGGCATGGGTGTTGTGGCATAGATGATGTGGCATGGCGTGATGTGCCATGGGTGTTGTGGCATGGGGTGACGTGGCATGGCGTGATGTGGCATGGCGTGATATGGCATGGGTGATGTGGCATGGGTGATGTGGCATGGGTGATGTGGCATGGCGTGATGTGGCATGGGTGTTGTGGCATAGATGATGTGGCATGGGGTGATGTGGCATGGCATGATGTGGCATGGCGTGATATGGCATGGGTGATATGGCATGGGTGACGTGGCATGGGTGATATGGCATTGGTGATGTGGCACGGGGTGATGTGGCAGGGTGATGTGGCATGGCATGAGCCCCTCTCCTGTCACCCTGCAGCCGAGCGTACCACACAGACATGCACTGCATAGACCGGACAAATGCATAGATACCTATATTCTCTCTTTCTCCTCCTTTTCAACTACACCCCCCCCCAACCCCCCCTTCTCCCCTCGCCGCCCCCCTTTCCCCACCACCTCTCTGCTTCAAAAGTGACTTCTCTTTACCTTTGATACTCGTCCTTTTTTCACCAAAAGCAAGTTTCTCTCTCCTCCTTCCCCTTCCTGCCGCACCCCATCCCCCTCCGCCCCTCCCCTGCCCCCACCATCCTCTCTACGTGTAAAGTGAAGTCGGCACGTTCGCCGGCAATCTGAGCCGCATTCTCTTTGGTGGCGCCACGCCTCTCATTCCCGGTCGCCGCCTGCACTGGGGGAATGAGCCCCACCTGTGCTTTGGGGAGGTCATCTTCCCTCTCCACACCGCTTATTCCATGTGAGCCGCCCTTGCCGGCCGCATGCTGCACGCTGCATTCCACATGCCACATTCCACATTCCACGTTTCACATTCCGTGTTTCGCATTCCACATGCCACATACTGCGCACACGGTGAGCGAACCTCCCTGCACATGCTGCAATGGTCATATGCACCCCCTTCACAGGAACGCCACAGAGTATGTGAGGAGGAAGGCGTATGCCTGGGCGGACGCCCGACTCACTGCTGCCGTCACTGGCGCCACTGCTGAAGGTACCAGTAATGCCGATGGTACTGGTGGTGCTGCCACTGGTGCTGATGCTGGTGGGGAGGAGGAGGAAGAGGCAGAGGATGGGGAGGAGGCAGAGCAGCGGCTGCAGCAGCGGAGGGAGGCGGAGGAGAAACGTAGAGAAGAGCAGCTGTCTAAGCTGCCCTCTCCGTTGCAGGCGAGTCGATTCATGCCATACCATCCCATGTCATGCCAGTCCATGCCATCCGATGCCATGCCATCCTGTGCCATCCCATGCCTTTCCCATTCCACGCCATGCCAGTCCATGCCATCCAATGCCATCCAATGCCATGCCATGCAATCCCATGCCATGCCATGCCATGCCACATGGACTGGACCATGCTTCCTTCTGTCATCTAGCAATCTACTCTCCCCTCTTATTCCTACTGACACCGGTTACGTGCTGCTTCTTCACCCCCTCCCGTGTGAAGACTCACTGCAAGTGAGATTGCTGATATCCTGACTTTTATACCTTCACCTTCCCTCTGCTATCCATTGCAGGTGACGTGGCACTATTGGTTCAATTGAGGTGGCTTCTGAAGTCACCATGACTTCATGTCACACCCATTGTGCTGTAAAATGATTGACATGAAGTCGTCACCCGTTGCAGGTGGCGTGATTGTGATCCTGACTTTCGAATCATCTGCTCCCATCTGCTGTGTCTATTGCAGGTGACATGGCTGTACCGGTCCAATCGTCGCACCATCACAAACGTGGGAGACGTGCTGCAGCTGCTCACAGCGCACTTTCGCATGCCCATCCACATTATCGAACTCTCCGAATCTACACCGTAAGTGGTTGAAAAAATATTCGCCATATGAAACATGTGTGAACTGAGACGCCTCAAGACGTCACATCATCAAATGCCATAAGACCATGCCCTCCCTGACTCACTCCTTGCTGCTGCCACAGTTGCATCGTTTTTATGTTGCACATTTTTTTCTTCCCTCTCCCTCCATCTGCCCTGAGACACCAGTCTCACCTCAACCTCAGCCTCACTCTCACCCCACCTCCCCTCCCTCTTCACCCAACACCATGCCCCAGCTTCGACCAGGTGATTCACACAATGCGCCACACGGCCTTTGCCATCGGCATGCACGGCTCGGCCCTCGCCAACCTCATCTTCCTGCCCTCGGGGGCGTCAGCCCTGGAGCTCATCCCCTACAAGTACCGCTACTTCCCCTACCTCCCACCCCCCTCCACCATGTGCCCTGCAGGTTTGACCAAGTGGTGAACACGAGGCGCCACGCACCCTCATCCTCACCCTTTCCCTCACCCTCATCCTCACACCTCACAACTCAACCTCGCCCTCACCCTTACCCTCTCCCCTATTCTCCTCTCTCCTCACCCACCACAGGTTCGACCAGGTGGTTCACACGATGCGGCACACAGCCTTTGCCATGGGAATGCACGGCTCGGCCCTCGCGAACCTCATCTTCCTGCCCTCCGGGGCGTCAGCCCTGGAGCTCATCCCCTACAAGTACCGCTACTTCCCCTACCTCACCATCGCACCTCTTTTCAACATAAACTACCACCAATGGACCAATGAGAAGCGCGAATTCGCGTCATTCGACGATGGGTGTTTTGAAGGGAAGTGGGCGAAGCTGAGTCCGTCGGACTGTTGGAAGTTAAAGCCGTGCTTGCGCTGTGTGCGGGACCATGCGCGCACGCATGTGGATCCTGAGAGCATTGGGCCTGTGCTTGCTGATATTGGACGAGAGGTGCGCATATGGATTGGCATGTATGGTCTTCCTGGTTCCTGAAACTCCAAATGCCCTTTTCTTAACTTTCTTGTTAGATGTGAATGGAGTGAAAGTAAAAACGGAGTACCATAGCGAAGATTCACTTGTACTTGCTTCTGGCTAGCCCACATTAAGAAATATCCGAGCTGCATTGCTGCCTCTCCGCTTTATCAACATAAATATCAACATCTCCACATTACAATCTAGAACTTGCCCTACAGTATACGCAAACCCTTGCACTACGCACCACCACCTCACACCTACATCAGCAGAGAAGCAGTTCAGGGGTGACGGTTGCTGAAACCCTCACGCCTGAGGCTGATTTTTTGCCACCACCATCTCAAGACAGCCCCACCACCTCCCTTAGCACTTGTGTGTGAGCTGACTGAAATGTCTCGTCTGTAGACACCCATCCGCATTGCCGCAACCTGTGCCCCCCCAGCTACGTCTTCGCCTCCACCACCTCCCGACTCAACCCAGCCACCTTCCAGAGCACCACCTTCCCCTCCTCCACAGCATGCCACGAACTTATCCATGTGCCAGCACAGCAGATGCAGCCACATCGCTCCAACCCTCGCCCCTGAGTTGCTTCTTAGCCGCCACCACCCGCACTGCTGCAACCTTCTACCTCTCCCCTTAGCCTCTTCTTTGCAACCACCACCTCCCGACTCAGCCCAGCTGCCTTCCTGAGCACCGCCTCTCTATGCTCCGCCACCAGCCGCACCCCTCCCCCTCCCCCACAGGACGCCACGAACTTATCCATATGCCAGAACAGAAGGGCCTACCGCAGCTTCCTCTTCTTCATTCCAGGCTGAATCCCCAGGAGAGAGGAAGAGGCAGTTGCCTGCTGGCGGCCAGGGGATGTCCCAGAAGAGCAGAAGGACAAAGGCGGCACCTGCGCTCCGTGCCTGGGTCCGAAACTGAGTAAGCCGGCGGGAGTATTCCTCGTAGGTCATTGGCACACCTGAACACGCATGCATCCATGCACATACAAACGCAAACGCACACATACATGCATGCCACCCCGCTCCACCTCCCCCCATCCCCCCTCTCGCAACCATGCACACATCATTTGGAAACACAAACATGCAATACACACACAAGGGGTAAGAATACGCACGCCATGAAGCAAAACTTAAGAGAGAAAAACAGGCTATTCAATACGGGTGCTCAGCTAGTATCACAGTGCGCAGCAGCTCCGCTATTCACTCGCTCTCACCTGTGTGGCGCCGTCGACACTCTTCCTCCAGCTGCTTCATCTTCTCCTCCACTGCTGCCTCCTCCCTCACTGCCCTCTGCCTCTCCTCCTCCTGCACCCGCCTCCTCTCCTCCTCTCTCCTCGCCTTCTGTTGTGCCCGCCTCTCCTCTTCCATCCTCCTCTCCTCTTCCTTCCTCCTCACCTCTTCCTTCCTCCTCACCTCCTCCTCCTTCTTCCTCTTCTCCTCCCTCTCCCTCATCTCTTCCTCCTTCCTCCGCACCTCCTCCTTCCTCCTCCTCTCGTCCTCTTTCCTCCTCTCGTCCTCCTTCTGCCTCCTCTCCTCCTCCTTCCTCTCCTCCTCCTTCCTCATCTCCTCCTCCTTCCTCCTCCTCTCCTCTTCCTTCTTTCTCCTCTCTTCCTCTTTCCTCCTCTCCTCCTCCTCCTTCCTCCCCACCTCCTCCTTCCTCCTCTCCTCCTCCTTCTTCCTCCTCTCCTCTTCCCTCTCCCTCCTCTCTTCCTCCTTCCTCCTCTCCTCCTCATTCTTACTCTCCTCCTCCCTCTTCCTCCTCTCTTCCGCCTTCCTCCTCTCCATTTCCTCCTTCCTCCTCTCTTCCTCCTTCCTCCTCTCCTCCTCATTCTTACTCTCCTCCTCCCTCTTCCTCCTCTCTTCCGCCTTCCTCCTCTCCATTTCCTCCTTCCTCCTCACGTCCTCTTCCCTCGCCCTCTTCGCCTCCTCAGCCTTTCTTTGACACTCCTCCGCCTTCCTCTTTTCCGTCAGCTCCCCTTCAGTCCGCACGATCTCCTCCTCCGCGGCAGAGACAGCAGCTTTCATCCGTACCACCCACGCCCGTAGAAGACCGTTGTATAATGCAAACACGCTCGCTGGAGCGTCCTTGGGGGGGGGCGGGGGCGGGGGACCCTGATGTAAGGGTTCGGGTGGGGGTTGGGGAGAGAGAAGGGAGGGGAGGTGAAGGTAGAAAAGGCTAAGAAATAATTGAGAGTAAAAGGCCAGAGAGAGGGGATGGAACAGGAGGGGAGAGGACGGGAGGTCGTGGCGACAAGACAACAAGCACAATCGTCAATGAAACTCACGAAGGTGTCATTCTCCTGCTGCTGCTGCTGTTGCTGCTGCTGATGATGATACATGCAATCCTCCCGTTTCGCCCTTCCTTCAGGTTACTCATCTCCTCGTCCCTCGCAGCAGAAGCAGCAGCAGCTGCAGAAGCAGAAGCAGCAACAGCAGCAGAAGCAGCAGCAGCAGCAGCAGCAGCAGCAGCAGCAGCAGCAGCAGCAGCAGCAGCAGCAGCAGCAGCAGCAGCAGCAGCAGCAGCAGCAGCAGCAGCAGCAGCAGCAGCAGCAGCAGCAGCAGCAGCAGCAGCAGCAGCAGCAGCAGCAGCAGCAGCAGCAGCAGCAGCAGCAGCAGCAGTAGCAGCAGAAGCAGCCGACTTCTTATCCTTCTTATCCTCCTCCCTCAACCCCTCCATGCCCTCCCCCTCCTCTCGTTCCACCTTCTTCCCTTTCCTCAGACGCTCCTCTGCCACCTTCTCCTGCTGCTGCTTCCCAGCCATCTCCACCGTCGCCTTGCGCTTCGCCTTCTGCTCGTCCATTTGCTGCTGCTTCGCCTTCTGCTCGTCCATTTGCTGCTGCTTCGCCTTCTGCTCGTCCATTTGCTGCTGCTTCGCCTTCTGCTCGTCCATTTGCTGCTGCTTCGCCTTCTGCTCGTCCATTTGCTGCTGCTTCGCCTTCTGCTCGTCCATTTGCTGCTGCTTCGCCTTCTGCTCGTCCATTTGCTGCTGCTTCGCCTTCTGCTCGTCCATTTGCTGCTGCTTCGCCTTCTGCTCGACCATTTGTTACAGCTTCGCCTTCTGCTCGTCCATTTGTTGCTGCTTCGCCTTCTGCTCGTCCATTTGTTGCTGCTTCGCCTTCTGCTCGTCCATTTGTTGCTGCTTCGCCTTCTGCTCGTCCATTTGTCGTCCATTTGTTGCTGCTTCGCCTTCTGCTCGTCCATTTGTTGCTGCTTCGCCTTCTGCTCGTCCATTTGTTGCTGCTTCGCCTTCTGCTCGTCCATTTGTTGCTGCTTCGCCTTCTGCTCGTCCATTTGTTGCTGCTTCGCCTTCTGCTCGTCCATTTGCTGCTGCTTCGCCTTCTGCTCGTCCATTTGCTGCTGCTTCGCCTTCTGCTCGTCCATTTGCTGCTGCTTCGCCTTCTGCTCGTCCATTTGTTGCTGCTTCGCCTTCTGCTCGTCCATTTGTTGCTGCTTCGCCTTCTGCTCGTCCATTTGTTGCTCCTTCGCCTTCTGCTCGCCCATTTGTTGCTGCTTCGCCTTCTGCTCGTCCATTTGTTGCTGCTTCGCCTTCTGCTCGTCCATTTGTTGCTGCTTCGCCTTCTGCTCGTCCATTTGTTGCTCCTTCGCCTTCTGCTCGCCCATTTGTTGCTCCTTCGCCTCCATGTGTTGTCGCTGCATCGCCTCCCTCTCCATCTTTTCCTGCAGTGTCGCAACATGGCGGCCGTTGGCACACAGACGCATCACACAGCCAAGGAATCCGCGTAGTAAAACCACTAGTTTGTACACTTACCTGCTTCAGTTCACATGCATGGCACGTGCTGTGAATCCAGGGCCTTTCGAAATCGACATCGGAGATGAAATTCTTCAGCTGTAAAACCTCCCATTTGTCATACAGAGTGCTCACGCTCACTCGAATGTTGCTGCTTCCTCCTCGCACGACCAGCAAAAGTCGATTCGTGCTTCCTGTTTCACACCAGGTGTTCAAGAGACGGGCAAGTAATTAGTGATCTACAGATGTTGCACGGAAAACGCGGGCGGGCATCACAAAGGGTTTGACCCAATGGTTCGCCTGAGGATCATGCGAGAATGCGAAGGAGTATTGAGCCGTTTCAAAACTGGATCACGCGAAAAGGAAACTGACTTACCAAAGAAGGAAATAGAAGAAATGTGATTTAAGCACTGGATTAAAAAAATAAACAGCAACAACAAGAACACGCTAGAGGGCAAGGACAATAAAAAACGGTTTGCCATCCCATGCACCCTTCTGGACCTTGAGCCTTTTGATATGATGTATGGCGATCGTTAACCCAGCAGCAGCAGCAGCAGGAGTCCAGCCAGGCAGTGTGATAAAGTTGAGAGCCAGCGCCCAGCCTCCGCCGTCTGGATCGTCACTGTTCTCCTCATATTTGAGGCCCGGATCCAAGCTTGTTAGATCTATCAAGCCTCCGTCAGATGGAACCCAGCTCCTTGGAATGCGGATCACGGCGACGTGGCCTCTTCGCAATCCGATGCTCTCCGAACCGCGCTTGAAGGTAGCTGTGACGTTGAAGCAGCCGAGGAAATCGAGTTCCACGACCATGATCGGCGATGGATTGTGAATGAAGTTGAGAGGAAGGAAATCATGCGATGCTCTAAAAGTCGGAAACAGGTGACGCTGGGAGATATTGAAACAGTGATGTGCATACAAAGGGAACCCGTCGATGCGGATGCAAGTGCGAAAAGCGTTGCAGGTATGCGAGGCTTCTAAGGAAAGCTGCGATGATAAGATTGTTGCACAACTATCACTCTGGAAGCGTTGAAGTCTGGGTCTATGGCTAGAATCAATGGGTACAAGCTATAACCGATCAGGAAAAGTGGCCGTCAGTGTGCTGCTACCAACTAGCTAGCAGCTTGTGTCTCTGGACCAGGAACAACGACCTTCTGATTCAAATGTGTAAAGAACATTCCAGAGACGAGACGACATGAATGGAGGGCGGGATAGCATGAGGGATGACAGTGGCTGCTCAAATGTCCAGACTTGCATCTCGATGGCTGCTGCAACATCAAGGTGAGTGGTGCGCGAGCCGCCTGTGGTTCTCCGCTGGCAGAAGTCAGGCGGGTCGGAGATCAAGCGCAGTGGCGGGAAAGCGAGAGGCGGTGGTTCAATATAAGGTGACCCAGCCAAACATTCCGCCGAGTAGCAACCGAATTCTCCATAATTTTAGCAACATTGCGATATACAGTGGGATCATGCGCGATCATGAGCGCACAAATGTGGATCTTGAGCGCATTGGGCCTGTGCTGGCCGATACTGGCATGCATGGCTTGCCAGGTTCCTGAAACGCCATATACGGTATATTACGGTATACGGCATATACGGCATCTAGGTTGAGAATTACGATAGGCAGTGAGTGAATGTATAAACGGACCAGTGAATGTAGGTGCTGTCCAGTGAATGTAGGTTATTCATGCACTTGCTTCATGCTAGCCGTCCAAATGAATATGCTAGTGGCATTGCTGCCACTACGATTATTGCCATGATCATCCAGCACTACAACATACACTTCAGAATCCGCCTACCGTAATTATAACCAACCCTTGCACCATGCACCACCTCACAAGAAGTAAAGCAATGCGTAGTACACACAACCAAGGAATAACCCTCACAGCCCAGCACACCCACACCACTACTCGGACATCAACTGGCAAAGAAGCAGCTCAGGGGAAACGGTTGCTGCAACCCTCACCCCTGAACAGCTTCTCAGCCTGCACTATGCTGCCACCTCTTGACTCAGCCCAGCCAGCCACTTTAGAGTCGACTCAATAGTCACCACTCAATAATCACCTCTATGCACATCCAGCCGGATCACTCCCTAGCTTCTCCCCACAGCTGCTTCTTTTCCTCCACCACCTCTCTACTCATTCCAGCCAACTTCCTCAGCACCGCTTCCCTATGCCTTGCCAGCCGCACCCCTCCCCTTCACCCCCAGCATTCCACAAGCTTGTACGTGTGCCAGAACAGCAGCGCCCCCATACACACACAACCGCCCACTCCAGCTGCCGCCCACTCCAGCTGCCGCCCACTCCACCTGCCACCATACAACCTCGCCTTGGAGTTGCTTCTCAGCCACCGCCACTTGCACTGTTGCCACCCTATCCCCTCACCCTTTGAGCAGCCACCACCACCTCTCGACTCAGCCCAGCCACCTTCTTGAGCACCGCTTCCCTATGCCCTGCCACCAGCCGTCCCCCATAGTAGTTGAGGAACTTATCCGGATGCCAGAACAGCAGCGCATCCATAGCCTTTCTCCTCTTCAGCCCAGGTGGGTCCCCAGGGGAGAGGAACAGGCAGTTGCCTGCTGGCGGCCAGGGGATGTCCCAGAAGTGGAGTGGGGTGGTGCCAGGGATGCGGCTGCTGCCAACACCAGCTCTGGCTGCTTGCTTCCGGAGCTGCGTCAGACTGCTTGAGTATTCCTCGTAGGTCATTGGCGCATCTGAAGGGACATGCATGCACATTCATGTGAACATGCAAGAGCACACATGAACACAAACCAGCGCACATGAGCACATTCAGAAACGTACAACTCATGTGCAAGCTACCTCAATTCCAAACGCCTATTCCCCCTTCCACAATCATGCACTCATCATCCGAACACATCCATAAATCGGATACATGCACACCCAGTACTACAAGTATGCTGTGTCGCAAAACCAAAGAGAACACAACGAGCTCTTTTATACAGGCATGCAACGAGTATTCCAGTGCAAGCAGCTAGTGCCTCACTACAAGCAGCCATACAGCTCTTCACTCGCTCTCACCTGCTTGCCGCCGTTGCCACTCCTCCTCCAGCTGCTCCATCTGCTCATCGAATGCCGCCTCCTCCTTCTTTGCCCTCTCCCTCTCCTTTTCCTGCGCCCGCCTCTTCTCCTCCTCCTTCCTCACTTCCCTCTCGTTCTCCTTCCTCTTCTCCTCCTTCTGTCTCGTCTCTTCCTCCTTCCTCCTCTCGTTCTCCTTCCTCTTCTCCTCCTTCTGTCTCGTCTCTTCCTCCTTTCTCCTCTCGTTCTCCTTCCTCTTCTCCTCCTTCTTCACCCTCTTCTCTTCCTCCCGCGCCCTCTCCCTCTCCTCCCTCATCTCAGCAGCCTTTTTTGCCTCTTCCCGCTTCCTCCGTGCACCCTCCGCCTTGTTTCTCTTCACCTCCTCAGCCTTTCTCTGACACTCCTCCGCTTTCCTCTTCTTTGTCACCTCTCCCTCAGTGCGCAGAATCCTCTTCTGCGCCGCAGCAAGAGCAGCTTTCACACGAGCCCCCCAGTCCCGCAGCCGGGCATTGAACGAAGCAAGTTCGCTCGCTGAAGCCCCCTTTGGAGGAGGCGGGGGCGGGGGACCCTGATGTGCAGATTTGGGTGAGGGCCAGAAGGGGTAAGGGAATAACAGTGAAAGGAAGAGTAAAGAGGCGGGTTGGAGGGACGAGGACGGGAGACAGAAAGGGAGGGGAGGGGAAGAAAGAAATGGAAGGGAAAGGAGAGGGGAGGTCAGAAAAACACTGTTAAGCGTGGTTCTTGGACGTTAGGAGGGATCAGACGCGCAGAACAAGGCTTCTTAAACCAGGGCTGCGAGAGAGAAGTCGGAGACAGAAGATGAGAGGAGAGGGGAGGGGAGGGGAGCTCGTGGAGACTGGACAACGAGCACAGGTGGCAACGGTACTCACAAAGGCATCATTCTCTTGCCACCGCTGCTGCTGCTGTGGCCGCTGCCGGTGCTGCTGCTGCTGCTGCTGCTGCTGTGGCCGCTGCTGGTACTGCCACTCCAACTCCTCTATTCTCGCCCTAAACTCTTTCTCGAATTCCCTCCTGATCTCCTCTTCCCTCTTCTTCCATTGCGCCTCTCGCTCAGCACTCCCCTCGGCCTGCCGCTCCTCCTCCTCCCTCCTCTTCCCCTTTTCCCTCGTCGCATCATCAGCTGCAGAAGTATCATCAGCAGCATCAGCAGAGGCAGCAGCAGCAGCAGAAGCAGAAGCAGCCGACTTTCCAACCTTCTCGTCCTTCTCAGCATCTTTCCTCATACCGTCCATACCCTCCCCCCCTTCTCGTTCCACCTCCTTCCCTTTCCACAGACGCTCCTCTGCCGCGTTCTCCTGCTGCTGACTCGCCACGCCCTCCCCCGTCTCTTTGTGCTTCGTTGCCCGCTCGTCCATTTGCTCCTGTTTCGACTCCCTCCGCTCCATTTGTCGCTGCCTTGCCGCCCTCTCGTGCAGTATCTGCAAAGACGCCACGTGGCAGCCCAAAACACTTAGAACGCGTCACACAACCTGGGAAAAAAAATGAATCACCGAAAGCTCTTACACCAACGTATAGATGACATAGCCTCTCATTTAACACTTACCTTTTCCTGTCGTTGCTTTGTCAACAAGACCTTCTGGCCCTTCAGCTGGCAAGCAACGCACTTGCCAGGGAAGCAAGGCAGCTTCCCAGCCTTGACTGCTGAGATGAAGTCTTTCAAGCGCACTATCTCCAGGTGCTGATGCCGGGGGCTTACGGTGCACGCCAACCGAATGTTTCCCTTGCAACCTTCTCCTCCTTCTACGTCCATCAAAAGTCGCATCAACTTTCCTGCTTCGCACCAGGTGTTCACGACATGAGAAGTGAGAGCGACACAGAGAGTTTGGCCCTTCGGTTGCCTAAGGATTACGGGAGAACCGAAGATCAGGGGCTTCAAGACGTTTCAAGACTGGATCACGCAAAAATCTAATAAGATTAAAGATGCCTGAGAGCTAAATCACGAAAAAGGCAAACTAATGGATGGGATCGGAATGCTGGTTAGAAACACAAATCAAAACAGCACGAGGCAAGGAAACGAGAGTCGGAGAGGGGCAACAAAAACACCTTGCCATCCCACGTACTCTTTTCAAAAGATGACGATGACTGGAGCTCAAGCTTTCCTATGTGTTGAATGGCGATTGTAACAGCAGCGGAGGCATCAGCGAAGTTGCAGCAAGGCCGTGCGATGAAGTGCAAAGCCAGCGCTGAACCTTCGTTATCAGGACCTTTTCCGCCGTTCTCCTTATCAGCGAGGCCCGGCTCAAAGCTTGATAGGTTTATCAAGCCTCCGCAGGGGGGTATCCGGCTCGACGGAATGCGGATCACTGCGACGTGGCCTTTTGGCCGTCCGATGCGCTGTAAACCGCGCTCAAAGGCGGCTGAGATGTTGAAACAGCCGAGGTGCTCAGGTCTCACGAGCGAGTTCACGACCATGCTGATGGTCGGAGATGGGTCGTAAATGGAGTTGAGATGGACGAAAGCAGGCGAAACCAGGCGGCGTTTTGGAAGTCGGAGACAGGTGATGTTGCGAGAGATGGAAACCCGGCTTAGGGCTTGATCCAAGACAATTTGAGCAGCGAGAAACTGAAACCGTCTATGTTTCCAGGCTGAAGCAGGTGCGAAATCGGTCAGGTGGCCGGTGGTATGGGAGAAAAGATAAGATAGATAATAAGATAAGATCGTTTGCACGAAAGCAACTCACGAAGAGATGAAGTCTGAGCCAATGGTTCCTAGATCTATAATCGACCAGCGAAAGTGGACGTCAGTGTGCTCCTACCACCTAGCAAACAGATTGCGTGTCTGGACGAGGACGAACGACCTTCTGATTCAAGCGTGTAAAAGCATCGCCGTCAATGAAGAGACGAGACGACATAAACGGTGAGCGGGATGACATGACAGACGACAGTGGCTCCACAAATCTCAAGGAGCGGGACGAAGCGCAAACACAGCTTGGCGGGGCAATTGGTAGGCGCAGTGCGCGAGCCGCCGTGAAGTTTCTCCGCTGGCAGAGAAGTCAGAGCGGCTGCTTTGGGGGAGTGTAGGAGGCGGGAACCCGATAAAAGGTGTCCCAGAAACACTACCCGAGAAATATTTTCTACAATGTGGCTGACAGCAACGCACACAGAATCACATAAAGCATAAAGCCATTGTGTCCTTCCATTCGCTCTCTTATGCCTAACAGCAGCCCGTTTCCTTGTTTCTCTCACCCTACAGCTCGCTGTTGAGGGTGAAAAACATTTCAGACTACTCTGATGACATTGCATACGTAATGCAATGCTTACCGGTACCGTCACCCCCCGGATATAAGCGCCACCCTAGGATAAGCGCCTGGCGCTTCTAATTGGCATATGGCGCTTATATCCCCTCCTCGATTATAAGCGCACCCCCTGAAAAAACTAGTTTTATTATAAGCGCACGTAAACTTTAAAATTTGAAATGTGTACAAAACGTTGTAATGATTTTTACTTTAGCAGGCAGATATGTTGCAGATTCGGTTCCCTTCACATTCGGACCCTGCACTGGATGCGGGTCCAGTCAGCAGGAGCTGTCAGGAGCTGGATGTGAGTCAGATTGGGTGTGTCTCCCAGCGCGCGCGAGAATTTCACAGACGACCCCATGTAAATTCGACTCGATTGAAAGGGCAAGCACGAGACCTACAGTTTGGTGTTAAAAAATATAAAAAATATGAATGTCATTTTATAAACGCCGGCGCTTATAAATTTACTCGATTATAAGCCCACCCCCTTGAAAAAACCTGTTTTATTATTGCCCCCCATGGGGGTATATCCGGGGGGTGACGGGTACATCATGGCCACTGCGCATCTAGTATGTGACCAATATCCAATACCGTAATGTGGTTTCTGCGCACGCTGTGAAACATTGCACTACCTCTGGTCCTACACATGCTCAAAATTCAATAGAAGCAGCCAATATACTAAGATGCAGCCTTCTTGTTGTGTTGCATAAATCGGAGGGCCAGGTATGTGCCAATCCGACATACAATACAGAATAGGATGAGGAAGAGCCAGTCGTAGATGTATTCAGAATGGAGAGAACGGGCCGTGGATACATATGTCCATTGAAAGCTGCTGCTTCCTTCGATGCGCGGACACGAGCAATCGTGGCATGATGAAACAAGTGTAGCACAACCAGGACTCACACAACTGGGGCTTTTGGTGTCGCAGTAGAAAGCTATGGCAGTCATAGCATTCAATGCATACTGCAAGAAGATGGCACAGTGAACGACATGTAAGACCAGAAAAACAATACTAGCTTCATACCTGTAAAGGGTTGGTCCAATAAAATGGCCTGAAGAAGAAGTGCATTAAACTGTATGGGACCACGTATCCTGCAGTGCTTATCCATACTCCAGACACCATAGGCACGAGCATGAATGCGAGCTGCAGTGAATATGGCAGGTCAGGAGATATTGGAAATGAAATGCAGGACAGACCATCAGTTTTCAGAGAGCCTGGGGGCTTGGACAAGTAGTAACTCACTCCTGGGTTTGGAAGAGCCACTGAAAGAAGAAACCCAAGGTAGGTGATATCGAGGGAGAAAAGGAAGTGGGAGAACCAAAATGCGAAGAACTGTGACAAGCTGGAAACTGCAACTTGAGCTAGGCCCGTTGATATGACAAAAAATATCTGAGTTGTTACAATAAGATACGGAATCTGCAAACAGCAAAAAAAAGGTAAGACCATCTGGTCCATGATACAACTCCAGAGCTCAAAACACAAAACTGTGTTGCGTACCTCAACCAGTGTGAAGGAGATGATGTATGTTGAAGCAAAGTACTGTTTATTGAGCCTTTCTCTGTTGAACACATGGCGGATGCGTGTCAGCATTCCCACCACAGTTCCTCCATTAGAGGTGGGCCCAAAGATGAGCAGTGTGAACACAAATCCAGCACGCGCTGAGATCTGGAGGAGAGTAGAGCAGGGTAGGTCGAAAAAGAGGGAGCCAATAACGAGGCCCAGGACACAAGCGACAACTGCACGGGACAGGGTATAAGAGGTGTTCCGCCAGTAGAGGACGTTGATGGACCAATAAACCTTTGCCAGACGCGACATGTAAAGAGACTGCGGCAGGCACCAGCGACTTCTTTGTAGTGTGTCTTTCATTGAAGTTTCTGGCTCATAAGTAGGCGTTGAGGTGGGTCTCAGAGCGTTTCCAGGCTTCCTGGACTGCAAAGAAGGTTCCTCACTGGCAAGTACAGTGCTGGCATCTGTTCTGCCTTGGTTTGAACGCGCGGCTACCTGACCAGATCCAGGAAGTGCTGGCATAGCAGCAGTTGAGTCTGATGCTTCTGAAGCATAGAAGGAGTTGGGATTGCGACGAAGCTTCCGCAGGTGCTGGCCGTTGCTCATGGCCAGGTTGCTGATTCGATACTCAAACGCATAGTCACGTGCAGCTACAGACTCTGAAACGCCTTCTCCCATTGCATACTGTAAGAAGCTGATGGGATTCATGTTGTCAGGGAGAATGGGAGTGCCAGGTATGGACTGGAAGTATTCCTGCATATCATAAACAGGGGAAACATCAATAGAGGGAAAAAAAAAAAAAAAAAAGACTGGGAAAACAAGCTATAAATCCCATCCAAGAAGGTCCAACTCTAGCATTCCAGCAATTCACTCACCACAATGGCAGAGCCAAATTGACCAGCAGGTCCAAAGTATACCATTTCACCTCCACTGCGTAGCATGAGCACAGAAGTGAAGCTGTTGAGCTGAACCACTGTTGGCACGTTGGTTGACACTACCATGGCCTTGCCCCAACCTGTTGCCACGCTCTGAAGTGCACAAATACAGAGGAGGTTCAAATGCATCAGGAAACGGGACAAATTTATATCATAGGAGGATGCCATGTTATTACTCTGACATGTTATTACTCACGTCTAGAATCTCTGCAAACTGCACAATCTGCTGCATGTCCATGCCAATGAAGGGGGTGTCAAGAAAAAGAGCCGAGGGGTTTCCTGCAAGCTCCATGGCCAGCACGATTGGCTTTTCTGTAAATACCAGACCGCTGCCACCTGAAGTAAGGAGGTCATTTACCAAATACTCTGCAAGGTCATGTACTCGAGTGACCTTCAGAATCTGAAACATGAGAAGAGGAGATAATGAGGACAAGATAGGCATCTGTACACATCCATAGCAAAAAAAAAACTGAAAGGTCTCACCTTGTCCACAAACGAGTTACGTGATTTGCGCGACACTGATTGTGGCAGCAGAAGGTCGGCTCGATACATAAGACTCTCTCGAACTGTAAGATACGGATAGTGCTGATGGCCTCCTTCAATGTATGCCGTGCATTGGATGAAGGATTCAAGGTCACGAGTCAGACCATTGATCGACAACTGGCCTGTGATTCGCCCACGAATCTTTCGCCCTGTCACAAGAGAATACTGAGAATTGAGAGGCTCCAAAGACAGCAGATAAAATAAGTAACAGCAAGATACAGGAATGCTTACCAGCAAGACAGTTGAGAAGGCTTGTCTTGCCTGCACCCCTTCCTCCCACTATTCCTGTAATCTCACCAGGCTTCACCCAGCCTGAGATGCTTTTCAGAACTTCCATGTCTCTATCAGAATGGACGGATGTGATCTTGTAGGAAAGATTCTGCCATGCCAGCACCACTGGCTGAAGCGGTGGACATACAGCCTGCCATCCCTCTGACTCGCCATTCCTGGCTTCTATCTCCCCGAACTCAACTGCAACATCATGGCCATTGCGAGGCTCTGATGGCAACACATCTATACCAGTAGCAGGCCTGATGCCATTGGCACAAGCAAACTCCTTGGACTCACTTTTGGCTGCCAGGCAGCTTGGTGGCAGTATTTTATGATGCGGAAAGTGCTGCTGGTAATACCCTGGAAGGAGGCAGATATAGCTAGCCAGGGTCCAAAGAATGGTCCAGGCGACAAGCACAAGTGGACCAATCAGAAATACAATCCAGTCATAGTTCCAACCGTTGCCTTTGAGGTATGCTACCCCCACTGCTTCAGTTGGGTGGGCTTGACAAAATGGATACGGGCTCAATGGCAAGAGAGGGAAGGCAGCTGAGGAGTTGGAAACAGATGAGCTGGGCATGAGAAATGTAGGCGGAAGGACTTCTGTGCAAGGAGTATTGAACTTGCTGTTGCGGAATTCATTGACTTGCATCATGGTTGCAGCCCACTGGAGAGCATCAATCCGGTACACCCATATCCAGTAACCCCGGATGAGGGATTGGGGAATGAGGAGATGAATGAAGAGGAAAACTGAAGGGCCCACAAGAAGTGCAGAAAAGAAGGCAGCAGCAGCAGGATTCCGGGTGGAGAAGGCAATGAAACGGACCATGGCTGACCCATGTAGGACGGTGAGAATCATAATGGCAACGAAAATCCAGAAGTGGACACCACCATCACTGAGTGAAAATCCAGCCAAAAAATACACGACGATGGACCACACAGTTGCCTGAAGAAACACGAGGAAAGTAAGTTACACATTCTTAAGAAAACTTCAAAACCCCAAGTTACTGAAACTGGACGTACCTCTATGATTGAAAAGGGAGCTCCAGCCAACACATGGGCCAACAGGTAGGTGTATGTGCGAAAGCTTTGGGCAGATGAATGCTTGTAGTAGACCAGACGCTCCTCCATGAATATAGGTAGCTGACTGAGGTTGAACAAGGTCATCGCGACAAGCGAGAGAAATGTTATTCCTCGACGAAGGTTCAGGTTGCCAACAGTTGGAGGGTCAGAGGGCATCTGAAAGAAGTTGAAGCCATGGAAAAGGGACATGAACAGAATCTGCATCACCAAGACCAAAAGTCATGAAAACGTCAACAAGAGATTTGAAAGTCATGAGTGTAGACAGATTCATGACAATGCAAACCTGAATGAATCTTGCCATCAATGCAAATCGGTTCCTGCATAGTGATAATAGCTGACGATGCAGCAACAGCAAGAATTCTGGCCAAGGGTCCAATATGAACCGAGTAGTCAACTGCTTCACCTCATCTTGTGCTTCCTTGACCTGATCACAGAATGTCAACAAATGGTTGCTCAACAAGGAAAGGAAACACATCACAGTTGCCATCTTCCATCACCTTTTCTTATGAAGACGTTGGCTCTGGTCGTTCAAACTGAAGCTGAACCATGTTGCTACTGTCTATTAGGTTTTCGAGAAACTTGCCAAGGTCTTGTGGGTCCAGGTCACCACCAACATTTCTCGCATACTCAAACTGCCTTCCCATAAGTGCAAACCCAACAAGCTCATCACCTTCTTCAATAGGCCCAGTCAGGACCAGCTCACCATCCTTGCTATCCTCCTTGCAGTCTGACTTCAGCACGACTATTCTTGAGGTTTTGGCAGAGGAGTTCGCACCGGAGGCAAGACTGAGAGTGATGCGCAGTGAGAACAAGCTTGGCTGGTTTAGATATCCAGGTTGTACAGCTGATGCCTTTGTTGTTGACAATGCGCATAACATCACGATGAAGCGGAGATCGTTCATATGCACGCACTGTTCACCATAACAAGACCATGTAAGCACCTCATAATAAGTGAAGAACGGAAAAAGGTGAGCAAAACAAAACAGCACGGTCCCTACCAAAGCCATTGAGGTCCAGCTTCTCATAGCCTGGCTCAAGAAGCTGTGCTCCAGCCTCTGTGGAGACAACTTGAAGAAACTCTGGCTCTGATATGTACTTAGGCATCTTGTACCTGAGAAATAGTTACAAAAATCGGTGTTCAGCTCAGAGCACGTACATGACAGCACCTTCTGAAATGTAAGACCCATACCCCAAGTCCACAAAGTAGCTTGTTGAACAAGCAGTTGGGCCTTGATAGACAACTCGGCCAGAGTTGAGCACGATGACGCGATCAAACAGGTTAAAGACGTCCTGAGTGGGCCATTGTAAACTGCATACCACCACTGTCTGTCGGATCTGAGCATACTCTTTCAGCATGGAAAGGGTTCTGAAAGTAGACGGGCCATCATATAGCTCACTGATGTGATCAGTGGCAGAAACAGAGAGAGAGAGAGAGAGAGAGAGAGAGAGAGAGAGAGAGAGAGAGAGAGAGAGAGAGAGAGAGAGAGAGCAATGGAACTTACTGGGTAAGCCCCAACAACGGTTTCTGCTGCTGTCAGCCGATGCCTTTCATCTTTTGTCAAGCCTGGTGATCCCACATGTGACTTGGCCTGATTTGTCAGACCAAACATCAGGAGCCTAGACTCCACAAGCGGATCCTCTCCAGCATCAAACGCTTCATGCAGGACAGCATGCATCATCTTATCGTGCTTCAGCTGTCGGAGGGTCACAGCACGGGTGAATCTCCGAGCATACTCCAGTGTTTCACGAACAGTTAGAAGAGGAAGATGATGATCCTGCTCTGGAACCATGCCAACGGTGCGGTGAACCTGGACGCTTGTTTTTGGCGTGTTATTGAATCGAATAATACCTTCAGAAGCTGCAAGCTGGCCTCCAATGAGCTTCACAAGCATTGATTTTCCACTTCCTGGGTGTAGTACCGAGATTAATTAGGAAAACATCATGCGTCACTTCACAAGTTCATTGCAGAATTTCAACACACCAGCTGGTCCAATAACAAGGGTCAATGTGCCTGGCATGAAGTACCTGCGAATCAACAGTGGTGAAGTATTGAAAAAAGGTAGACATTCAATGTAAGACTAGATGAGAAACCTCGAAATGAGTACCCGGTTATGTCTTTTAACACTGAAACAGGCTCCTCGGGTGTCAAGACGTTCTTCAAGGTTAGGTACCCCTGCAGTGTTTCAGATTGCGTGATTTCATTTTCCGGGGACATGAAGCTCTGATCTGACTTAATGAATGAGGCCCAAACAACTTACTGAATTCCAGCAATTTCTTGTCGTGGTAGGTAGTGGCTTCGATTTGCCAACATACTGAAGTCCTTGAACCTTGACTACCTACGGAACCACACTAGTAATCAGTAGAAAAACTTGTGAAGATGCACACACGAGGTCCTGGACCATATTATACCATCTCCAAAATGTACTGACCCAAAAGGGGCCCCCAGGTGACTTTCGGGCAATATTCGGGACATCTCGGAATATGTCCCAAAAGTTACTTCTGGAACTGACACTTTAGGCTAGATTGAGGTCAGAATGGGTAACCCAAAAGTGACTTTCGGGTCAGGTACGGGTCAGTTACGGGTCAGGTACGGGTCAAAATTTGGCGGGAAAAGTCAGGTACGGGTCAGATAGACTGACCCAAAAGTAACTATGAGGGCAGATTTAGGTCACACGTGTCTAGCACACAATCCGCCTAAACCCCGTTATTGAGTACGCCGGTTCCAGTTATAGATTTTAAGTTTCTATCGGCTATAAAATATTTTGCATGCATTGTACACGCTCGGAATGATCCTCGTTATAATTTAGTCCAGTACAACATTGATTTATGGGAAAATACACTTTGCAAAACCTATATTTACAGAGCAAACAATTATTACATATCGCCATCAGATCCATTATAACCTCTTTACAAAGTGACCATTTCTTGAAATTATGTTTCATTTGTAAAAATGTCAAATATATATATTAGAAAACAAAACGCCGTACCACAACTACATCATGACTACGTAAGAAACATGGTCATGTACATTTGCTCCAGAAAATATATAAATCAAAGCACAGCACAGGTAAAATAACCTGACAGCACAAAACCAACACATTAGAGGGTGAAATGCCATATTCAAGTGATACATCAGCTTAAAAAATAACAGCATGTGTTTTGACATAATCACCTTCACTGCAAGTGACCTAGAATGACATTGGGCATGTCAAACATTATATATGTTATGCTTGTGTAGGCTACAGTGGGTTAGCCTATAGGGGGTACACAATTCTAGGGTTTCCTACTTGTACTCATTTTCACTGCTAGTTCATTCATTCCTGTTCGCTTATTCTCACATGGTATAGAGCGGGTCCTTCTACGGACCGTTTTTTTTTGGGCCCACCGAAGCGCCCCCCGAGGCGCGATCTTTTTTTTTAGCGACCCCTCGGGTCGCCATTTCCCCTGCGGCCCCGCCGCCTTCACTGACGCGGCCCCGCCGCCCTCTCTGTCGCGGCCCCGCCGCCTGCTCTCACGCGGCCCCGCCCCGGCTCCTTCGCGGCCCCGCCGCCTGCTCTCGCGCGGCCCCGCCCCGGCTTCTACGCGGCCCCGCCCCGGCTTTCACGCGGCCCCGCCGACGGCTTTGTCGCGGCCCCGCCCAGGCCCTTACGCGGCTCCGCCGCCTGCTCTCACGCGGCCCCGCCCCGGCTCCTTCGTGGCCCCACCGCCTGCTCTCGCGCGGCCCCGCCCCGGCTTCTACGCGGCCCCGCCCCGGCTTTCACGCGGCCCCGCCGACGGCTTTGTCGCGGCCCCGCCCAGGCCCTTACGCGGCTCCGCCGCCTGCTCTCACGCGGCCCCGCCCCGGCTCCTTCGCGGCCCCGCCGCCTGCTCTCGCGCGGCCCCGCCCCGGCTTCTACGCGGCCCCGCCCCGGCTTTCACGCGGCCCCGCCGACGGCTCTGTCGCGGCCCCGCCCAGGCCCTTACGCGGCCCCGCCGCCTGCCCCCGTCGCGGCCCGGTCACCTCCTGACGGCCCCGCCGTCCCTTCCTGACGGCCCCGCCGTCCCCTCCTGACGGCTCCTGCCGTCCCCTTCTACCGGCCCCGCAACTGCACCTGCTGGCCCCGCCGCTGCACCTACCGGCCCCCCACCACCCACCCCCCCTTTTCCCGTCGCCCGTCGCGGCTCCTTCGGGGGCCGCAAGCGGCCCCCTCAGGTCGCCTCGACAGGCGACGGGAGAGGCCAGCAGAGGCGTGGCAGGTGTGTGGCCTCCCCTGCTTCTCCTCCTCCTTCATCTCCCACTGCAGCAGCCGAGCCGCCCCACAGCCGAGCCGCCCTGCCGCCGAGCCGCCGGGTCGCTGAGCTGCTGAGCTGCAGTTGCTGCCGAGCCGCCCTGCCGCCAAGCCGCCGAGTCACCGAGCTACTGAGCTGCAGTTGCTGCTGAGCCGCCTTGCCGCCGAGCCGCCCGAGTCGCCCGAGCCGCCGAGCCGCCGAGCTGCCGAGCCGCTGAGTCGCCGAACCTACTCTTCCCACCACTGGTGAGCTCTTGCCCTGCTAGCACGCTGCGCGTCGCCTGCTTGCCTGCCTGCCTGCCTTTTGGCTTGCCTGGCTGCCTGCCTCCCTGCTGCTAGTCCTGCTCCTGCTTCTACTTGCGAAGCCAAATGCAGCCCCAGCGACGCCGGCGTGAGTCCCTCACGCCGCAGCAGCTGCGTGAGTGGTACGCTGGTTGGGGCTGTAGGGGTGGCGACTGCTACTCCTACTACCACTCCTGCTGCTTCTACTCGTGGTGGCGGCCAGATGCAGCTCCCGCGACCCTCTCGCGTGTCTCTCACGCCTCGCCAGCTTCGTGAGTGGTACGCTCAGAGTGGAGGGTCTCTCAGTGCTGTTCGCTGCTCTTACGTGATTCGCACTGGTACTCGGACTGGTCAGCCTTGTGGGACACGTAGTCATACACCGTCCCGCTGCTTCGCCCGTCTGAGCGACGCCTGGCGTACCGTGTTTGGCGACGAGGCTGAGCTTCCCGACTGGGTGGAGTTGCTTAGGCAGAGGGTAGATATATATGCTCTTGACTATGATGCTATTCTCACTGCCATGTATGCATTGCCTACTAGTGCTGACCGTGCAGGTCACCTGTGCGTCCCGCCTGACCCAGGTATAGGACCTGCTGCTCTAGCTACTGGTGAGGCTGCTGCTCTGGGAGCTAGTGAGTCTCCTACTCCAGGTACAGGTGCGGCTGCTGCTCTAGGTGCTAGTGAGTCTGCTTCCTCAGGTGCGGGTGAGGCTGCGCTCTCAGGTACCGCGTTGGCTTCGGCCTCCCTCACCTTT